AGTTTTGTTAAATGCATTTCCAAATTATACAGAGAATCAATATTTCATCATTAATAGTTAAAACTACAACTTTAAAAAGAGCATGCTTACCCAAGTTTGGAGGCTAGCTTCTTTACCTTGAGCAGGGTGTGCTGAACCTGGGTGATGCTTCCAGGCAAGGGTTGCCCCAGGGCCCAAGGCCATTGCCAGTGGGGCCCACTTTGTAGCTGCTGCCCTCCTTCCTCCTTCCTTTCCGTAGGTGGGGAAGGGCAAAATCAAAGGTGAGGGGGAAAGGGTGAAACTCTCTTCTCCTATGAGAGGGGTTAACAGATACCCTCTTGACTCAAGGGAAGGTTGTACAGAGTTTTGAAACATTCCTTAATGATCACAAAACCTCCAAGATCTGCTAAGATGTTTTTAGTTGTTCTAACTTTTCCCTGTAACCTCCATGAAGGAGGATTCAGGGGTGTAGAGAGAAGGAGTAAGTAAGCCTCAGGGAACCAAAAAAAGCACCTACAGTTTTCCCAATTCTCTAGCGCAGAGAGAATTGACAGAATTGGGCGTACACTTCCAGATAAGGTGTCCATCCATGTCCTCTATGCTGTGGAAGGTGTACCCAGGTTCATGGCCTCAAAACAAACCAGCAGACCAAGAGCCTGAGAGTGTCAGGCCAAGTGCAAGACAACCTTGTAACTGTCTGCCTGAAAAGCACCTCCAAGCCTTGGTGCCTGGAGAGGGACCCCAACTACAGATAAAGAAAGGTGGGTAGGGGGTTTACATACCTTCCAGTCTTGACTGGAGAAGAACTTGGGGTTAGGCAGTTTCCCCATATGGGCGACCAAAATGTTGAGGTTTAGGGGTGATGAGACCCTGAAATCACAACATGTGGGTCCTGCCCAAAAGAATTCAACCCAAGCCTTCTTTCAGTCAAAGACAAGGTTTATTAGAACATGTGTCATATTGGGTAGACTCTTAAGGAGTCTGAACATTAGTGAGCTATTGGCTAGATTTTAAGAATCTGAGCACCTTAATAGAGACAAAAGGACCTTATATACAGAAAGACTATGGGAGGGAATCTAGGAGGGGTCAAGTAGTCTTTAGGGACTGTGAGGTAGTAGAATGTCAGGGACCTGGACCATGTGGCCAAGGGTAAGTCTAGTGTTTTTCCTTTTTGGGGTCCAGATCTCAACCCCATCACCCCCACTTCCCACCCTTAGTCCTATTTAGGCTCCATTCTCCCTTGGCCATGTGGTCCAGATCCCTGGCATTCTGTTACCTCACAGTCACCCCAGCTTACTGGCCACTTCCATCTAGATCCTCCTTAGACCCCTCCTCCAATCACCCCAAACCACTTAGCCACTCCTAGATCCCTCCCACAGTCTTTCTGTATATAAGGTCTATCTGACCTCCATTAAGGTGCTCAGATTTTAAAGATCTGGCCCACTTGCATTAGCAATACAAATGCTTAGATTCCTTAAGAGTCTGGCTAATAAGATGGATTCTTTAAATCTCACTCCTTCCCCCCATTGATGTTCTAATAAACTTTGTCTTTGGCTTGGGTTGAATTCATTTGGGCAAGACCTGTGTGTTGTGATTTGGACCTGCATTGTCGTGAATTTCCCATTGGTTGACCAACAGATAAATGAGCAGACCTTGACAAACCTTTCCAGAGGTCCTCATGAGTACACCTATGGGCTGGTAGAAAGGTAGGCTTTAAGCCAGCAACCAAGGCCACTTGTTTGGTCAAGTGCTCATGGTCATCTCCCCATGTTGGGCATTAGAGGGATGACAAGGGAGAGAGGGGAAACAAAAATAGTTGGGGGACTTTCCATGTAATTGAGTCACTTCCCACATGCTGGGCTTGGTTACCATAACAAGGAAAAATAAAGGTAGAGGTCCTGTAGTTAGCTTTCTATGATTAAGCAAGTGAATTTTACAATCTGCAGTTTATAGCTCTGGGGCCTAATATAACAGAACTTATGATCACCATCCCTATCATTCATATCAAACTGATTAATACTGATTGGAATAAAATAGAGGTCCAATTAATCATCTATCACACTGGTACATAGTAGGCACTAAATAAGTGGTAGTTATTATTGAGAGAGATTCAAATAGACTGGTCAATGAGAAGTTCATTATCTCAAGTACCACTTAAAGCCACTTTAGGAGACAATGAGATTCAAGTAGATTGGTCAAAGAAATCAAAGAAATACCAAAACTAATTGAGGCCCTTGGGCTCCTCTGTTCCTAGGGCTGAACAATGGAATAATGATTTGCATAGCTAATACTCTAAACTCTGAACTAGCCCAGCCTCTTTGCCTAAGTGTCCCTGGTTACCTCATCTCCCTACCCAGGGCAGATTTTCCTCTATAAGAAGCCCTCATGGTTAGGGGGCTTCTCCCTTAATCTGGTGTCACCTGAAGCCACATCTCCCTTAAGGAAATAGGAGCCTGCTTGGTGTGTTGTTACCAGGAATAAATGCCTTTACTTGATTTGGAGATAACCTGAGCAAATTCTTTTAAGACAACGTTTTGGGGTGCCTCTGAACCTCAACATTATTATTGTTATTATTATTTTGTCATGTGAGATATGGTTTTGTTCTCAAAGATTATTTTTTCAATCTTTGCCCAGTGTTAGCTTTATACCAACCACCTTATTGAGATGAATGCCCAGTTGGACAGTTGTACATGATTAATGTAGATAACATTTTCCATAAATCTGAGCTACCTTTCCAATTTGCTGACCTTTGTAATGCCCTTGAATGTCTTGGACTTCATCTTAATTGAATGGGCATGGAGTGGGTATTATATTTCTGTTTCAGCACCTTGGAAAGAAAAGACATAATTTACCCTCTGTGGGAAGAAGAGACACCATTCCCAAAGGCTAGAGAAGAGATGAGACTGGTGTCACTTTCTGCATGAGGCCTCTTCAGGTCCCCTCCTACTTTTCTAGCTGCTGGTGTCTTCTCCCACAAGCTTACTTTGTATTTGTTGTGTATTGCCTATAGACATACTATGTTCTTTCCCCTTTCAGAATGTAAACTCCATGAGGACCCAGACTTACATTTTTTTTATTGGCAAGGCAATTGGGATTAAGTGATTAGCCCAGGGTCACATAGCTAGCATCAATTGTCTGGTCTGAGACTGGATTTGAACTCAGGTCTTCCTTGTGGAAAATGTGGTGGGGGATGTTGCTTCTGCATATCACTCAATCAGGTGTTGAACCTACGTGACAGCATTGGAGTCAGTTTGGACTGGGAGGGAGTGTGGGAAATGGCTGGTTTTCATTTCCACAGGAGTGCAGTCTGGGGGCTAGGTGGAAGTTGAACAAAGGAAAGCCATAAAGTGGATTTGGTGGGTGAATGGACAGACCAGCAAAAACTGGTTCTGAGTTTAGGTATAGATTAACATATCTGTATCCCAAGCAGAAGGGATGTGAGCATACCCAAATAAGGGTCAGGGTGGCCAAATTGTGGGGAGTGGGAGATGTAATTAGGGGTAGAGACTCACATGGGAAAATTAGGTGCTTTGGATAGGCTGTAACTTCTATAGTACCTAGCCAATGGGGAAATGGGAAAGTCAAATGGGGAATAGGGAATAAAAAGGTGTGCATGTATCCACATATGTGCTCTTGATGCAGTTTAGGGGTTTAGGGGTCCTGGGACCCCAAAATCACAACACACGGGTCCTGCCCAAAGGAATTTGACCCAAGCCTTCTTTCAGCCAAAGACAATGTTTATTAGAACATCCATCATATTGGGCAGACTCTTAAGGAGTAAACTATTGGCTAGATTATAAGAATCCCAGCATTTTAATGGAGATGAGGTGGATCTTATATACAGAAAGACTGTGGGAGGGACCTAGGAGTGGCCAGTAAACTGGGGTGAACAGAACTCCTGGGACCTGGACAATGGAGCCTAGCTAGGATTAATTATGGGAAATGGCCAGGGGCCATAGGGAGGTAAGACAATGGATTGGGTGTAGACACCAATTGGGAGGGGAGATCAATTGAAAGGCCAGTTGATGGGATTATAACCTCAGGTGAAAGCCAGAGATTTGGCCATGTGGGAAATTCCGGGGTTTTTCCTTTCTGGAGCCCAGATCCCAACCCCATCACTCTCACATGCTTACTCACACATGTGGGAAGACCCACCTTCCCAGGTCATTAATAAAGTTTCTTCCTGATTTAACAATGGCTTCATGGAATTCGTGATAGAGCTAACACTCCTGACTCCAGGACCAGTGCTCTATCCACTGTGCCATTTATCTGCCCCCCAGATTTACTTTTGCTGTAGTGCCTCCTGTGCCTAGGCCACAGGAGGCCTGATTGGTATATTTGTGTGTGTGTGTTGGGGGTGGGAGTAGGGGCAGGGAATTACTTTCCCTGGAAGGAGAGACAAGAATTGGGCCTTCCAAGGACCAATAATTGATAATTGTATACATATACTTTGACTGAGAACTAACTGGACCTGACCTGGTTTTGGTTCCCTGGCCAATGAATTGACTGGGGTTCTGATTATTTTGTAAATCTCCCAAACTCTCCCACATTCCAAGACTCCCAAGCTTTCTTTATGGACTTTTGCTTGTTATGCAAAACAACGTACCTGGTGAAACTGAGATACCTAACCTGTCTCACCAGCAGCCTAGTCATTCTCTCTTCCTTAGTACCTGCCTTAGGGTTTATAAAACCCTGTTCCCAGCCCTCCTCCTGGGGTACCCCAGCACTTGCTGTGTGATTCCCTGGGCTGCAACTCACTTGCCACAATTAAAGACTTCCATTTTGTTGTATTGACTGTTTTCATTAAAATTCAGGTTAACAGTTCCCACTGACATTTTGAGGCCCAGATATATAATTTCCAAGTTGTTTTATCATTTGTTCTAAAGTGCAAGCTTAAATATGACAATAGTCTTTATTAGAAAACAAAAAACATGCATTGTCTCAGTTAAAAGTGAACAAAGAGTCAGAAGAAACTGCATAGAACTTTCCAATTTTAATTTGGTATTTTCATTGCTGACAATCCCAGCTTTCTGACATGTATACTTCCAGCAAGTGGTTGATATCCTTCTTCAGGCAGGAAGCCCAGGGTGTGAATTGTAAACATTTTTATACTTCCCTCATCTTTCCATTATTGACTGTTGTCTAGCCATCATGGCAAGCCTTAAGTCTTCAGAAGAATCTTCATCTGTTATTCCAGTGTGTTGTCTTGTATCTGGGTTTAACAAAAGTACCATGAATTTTTTTTTCTTTTTTAAAGTTTCATTGCTGCCTTTTGCTTTTGCATCACACTTGTTTTTCCTAAATTGCTTCTCCCTTCCCCACTATGTAAATAGTAACAAAGAAAAACATTTAAGGAAAGCCAATGAACACTAGGGCAATGTCTGACATTGTGATTCGATCCATTTCTGATGGCTCTTGCCAGAAATGATCTTGAGTGCTAGACTGAGAGGAAGTGTGCTTCTGAAGAGGTGGGGGGTTTTGGGGTGCTCCTAGATGCACAGAGGCACCCCAAGATCGTGGGAAAAAGCCAGATCTGCCTGAATGAATTCAACCCAGATCTTCTTCCAGCCAGAGAAAAAGTTTATTAAAAATGAAGCATATAGGCCAGACTTCCAAGGAACCCAAACATCAGTGATCTAAATGGGGGCTAAGGTGGTCAGGTAATGCTCATAAGCAGGCTTGAGAATCTCAGCTTCTGGATGTGAGAGGTTCTCAGCATCTGAATGCGGGCTGGGGGCTAAGGTGGTCAAGCCAGGTGAGCATGAGGCAGTCTCAGCCTCTTGGGCATGAACAAAGCTCAGTGTCTGAGTGGGGGCTGGGGTGGATAGGCCACATGACACCTGTGAGGACGAGGGGGCATGAGGTTCAGCCTCTAGGCTTGAGAACAGCTCAGCGTCAGAATGGGGCAAAGATGAGTCTTAAGTACAGAAAGACTGGGGGAGGGGTCTAGGAGTGGCCAAGCAGTTAGGAGTGGCCAAGCAGTTTGGAGTGACAGGAGGAGGGGTCTGAGGAGGGGTCTAAGGAGATCTGAATGGGAGTGGCTGAAGTAAGTAAGTAAGTAAGCTGGGATGAACAGAACTCCTGGGTCCTGGACCTCGTGGTGCCTAGCTAGGATTAAGGGTGGCCAGAGGAAGGGAGGGTGGGGTTGGTTGGGTCCTTTTAGAAGGTAATAAACAATGAGAATAGATAATGAAGGGAGCTGAAAGGGGAGAAGTTTGCTTTCAAATGGAGATAAAGAGGGACAAACAGAAGCCAGGTTCTTTTTGGGGCCAGGAAGGAAAGCGCATTTGAATAAGATTTCAAAGAGAGAATCTAAATGTTTTAAGGTTTTTCGGGGAATTGTAAACAAAGGAGCCAAATTTCTTTTGAAAAGGGGCAAAAAGGTAAATCTCTTCACTTCCTGTTTAGTTATCCAGAACCAAAGCCATTCATTCATCAGAGTTCAACTGCTTTTTAGTACTATCGTTTATGTTTTTGTAATCATTGTATATAGTGTTCTCTTTCTTTACTCAGTGTCACCTTATACAAATCTCTCCGTGTTTCTCTACATTTCTCATATTTTTATTTATTGTGGTATAATAAAACTCCATCATATTAATAACCATAATTTGTTCAGCCAGTCTCCAATAGACGAGTACCTATTTTCTTCCAAGTTTTTTTTTCTACCTCAAAAAGTGCTGCTATGAAAATTTATTTGTTTGTATGGATGTGACAAGAATGTAATATTCACTTCTCTGTCAAAAGTTCATATTGACTATAAGAAAGCCCCTCTCTTTGAACAAACCTAGGCAAGCCACTGCATGCCTCCTCTTGAGGTTACTTACTCTCAACTAGGCTCCACACTAGGGAACTACATATCTCTATAAACAGACTAGCTTAGGCTAGCCACAGCTAACCAATGTCCCTGCCTTATTAAGATTTATGGTGAGTTAGACTCACTATAGACATAAAGGGTAAAACAACCAGGATGAGGTATGTTTTCTTATTCCAGATTGCTAAATGCCCCATGACCAGGCCTTTCTCCCAATATGACACTCCCCCTCCCCTTCTTTCCTCCTAAAAGTATAAAAACCTTTTCTATAAGTTTTCTTGTTGGACACGCACATACTCAGATATGGTTGACCCAGGGTCGTATGCTGATGACCCTAATTATTTCAATTAAAGATGCCTTTTTCCCTCCATTAATGAATTTAATTTATTTCAGGACTATGAGATGTATACCGCCTTTTTTTTTTCCCCCGAGGCAGCATAGTATAGCGGATAGAGAGCTAGCCTTGAAGCCAGGGAGATCTAATTTAAAGTCTTGCGCCTAGCATATACTGGCTACATGACCCTGGGCACATCTCCTAATGTCTCAGTGCTTTATACAATTCTAAGACTATAAGTTATAGAGAAGGTGCTGACCTACATTGGTAGAGGGAGCTTCTTCATTTGGTACTTCCCTATACCATTGAAATCATAAGTCCAGTGACCATACCTATCCCTATATTTCTGTCACTGATCTCCTTGGGGCTTATGCCCAGTAGTGGAAGGGCTAGGACCAAAGGTTACTAACAGTCCAGTGTCTTCCATAATTACAAATTGTTTTCCAGAAAAACTAGAACAATTCTTCCCATAATCCTCTCAGTACTGTTTCCAAGTTTTTATCATTTTTGTCAATTTGATAGGTACTAAGTAAAAACAACATTAATCTATCACTCATAACAATAAGGACTAAGACAAAAGGCTGATGAGAAAGTCTAGGTGAAGCCATCAACTCTGAACTGAAACCCAAGGATTTGACCATCTAGACTTGAACCATTTCTTGGGCCTACCTTTTCTCCTATTTTTCTGCCCTTGAAAATGAAAAATAAAAACTCCCTTCCTTGGCTCCTAGAACCAACCATTGGTCACTTGAAATTCACACGTGGTACCATCCCAAAGAAATGAGGCAAAGGAAAGAAAATTATAAATTTATAGCTGGAAGGGACCTCGATGTAGTTGTTGTTCATTAGTTTCAATCACATTTGATTCTTTGTGACCTCATTTGGGGTTTTCTTGGCAAAGACACTGGAATGGTTTGCCATTTCCTTCTCCAGTTCATTTTGCGGAAGAGAAAACTGAGACAAACAGGGTTAAGTGACTTCCCAGGGTCACACAGCTACTAAGTGTCTGAGGGCCAGATTTGAATTCATAAAGATGAGTCTTCCTGACTTCAGGCCCAGCATTCCATCCACTGTGCCACCTTGCTTCCTTCCATAAGGGACCTCAGAAGTCATCTAGTTTAACCCCCTCATTTTACTGAAGAAACTGAAGTCTAGAAAGATCATGTGACTTTCTCCTATGCCCTAGAGTCACACACAACTCATACTTGTCCTTGGAAGTATCTAGCTAATCCCTTATTTATGACAGTCTGGTAATTCAATTACTCACCATGGTTAAAGTAATGTTCTTCCATAAACACAGAATTTTGATTCTGAAGAGAGAATAAAAAATAAGGAAGTCACAATATTATCAGTTTTGTGGAGAAGAGGAGAGCTTAGCCCCTTCCTCCTGGTGCATTATTTATATTCACTACTTCTTAAGTGTTATTTTCACTGCCCAACCCCCCCCCCCCCAAAAAAAAAGATTCAGTAAGGAGAGGACATTATCGTAAAAATCTTCCAAACATCTCAGGGACCATAATTTGATAGTTCCTATTACACTGATAAGAGAACTCAGTAGTCTTGTACTATTAAAAGTAACAGCTCATATTTATATAATAACTTTGTGAGGTAGACAGCATAAATATTATTATTACCATTTTTCAGATAACCTGACAGCCTAAGTGGGGCTAAATGAGCCTGAAATCACACTCCCACATTGAGAAAGCCTAATTGACAGCAATCAAACTAAAGACAAGGTCCAGAAAGTAGGCCTCAGGCTAGGTGGTCTTTGGATGTTACTTTAATATTATGTCCAGGCCAGTTTAAAACCTAGAAGTGGCTGACTAGGCTGTATTAATGATTTAAAGGACATTTGTAACCCTTAGTTATGACATCCAAAATGGTGTTAAATATACTGAGGTCCACTTTTTCATAAATCCTATATGAGTTTTTTGAAATTTTCCTTCCTGTGCAGTCTGTTGTTATCAACCTGGTTTTGTCCCCATGTGCAAGGATATGAAGAGCCATACTTGTCAGTGTATTATCATTGCTGAGTGTTTGTTTTTAGTAAAAGAGGATTTAAAATTTTTAAAAAATTATCTGTTTCAATGATTAAATCTTGATATACCCAGACCTTTCATTTGCATTCATTAGTATGAATCTAGTCTACAATATTTGTCATAGTTGGCAGAATGATGATTTTCTAGCTCCTTAGGAAGACAGATGATAGTAGTGTGGGAAGGAATTTGATGTTACAATTAACGTGATGCCCCAGCACTGGGCTCGAAGCATTACTATTTCAAAAGCTCTTGAGTTCAAAGTCCTAAACTGACTTCATTAGGATCAGATGGGAGATGGTGATGGTGATGATGATAGTGATGGTGATGGTGGTGATGATTTGACCTGTCTGGCACATATTGCCTCCTGTCTTTCCCTCTTGATATCTTGATGCTTAAAGTTAATTGGACTTGCCTACCCTGTGAGTTGCAGTTGGTTGATAGTTGGTGGGGATGGCTGTCCCCTTTTCCAAAGGAATTGCTTCCCAGGATAAGGATAGGATCTGTGAGGTTGATCTGGGAGATGAGATTATCCTTAGGGCTCTTGCTCTTTTATGCCTATTGGTGGCAGCTGGTCAGCAGCTGTTGCTGGTGGTGATAGGGAAATTGAGCCCTTTCTCCACAATGATTTCTACCCTCAAAGATGGCTATGGGGACTGGGCTGAAAACAAGTCTAATGGGCAGTGAGACACTGCTAATCTCAAAGCTCTTGGCTTCTGAAGGGAGATGGTAGTCAAGGTAGTAGTGGTAGTTTGACTTGCCTGGCATATGCTGCCTTGTTAGTCTACTGCAAGGGGCCCTGTTGGCTCACTTGTCCCGTGAGTAGCAGTTAATTGGAAGCTGGAAGGGATGGCTGGCCCCTTTTCTATAGGAGTTGCTTCTCAGGATGATGGCCATATAGTTTATGAATGTATCATTATGTTTCAATTCCAAACCAGAACAACTAGATTGGCCTGAATCAAGTCTTGCCTAGAATATTCTCCCCTATGATATCTGACTTAGCATTTCATCTATAGATTCTCAAGGGAAAAGAAATGAGCGACTCTATGAGGCCTTGGATTAGTCACTTGAGAAATGCATAAAATATATGTATAGTATTGTATAATATCACGTGTTTGTATGTGATAGTTATTTGTGTATATTCTCCCTTATTAGATTGAGCTCCTCCAGAGCAGGGACAATCTTTGTCTTTCTTCACATTCCTATGGCTTAGCATATAGTTGCTGCTAAACAGATGTTAACTGACTTATTGAGTTGGTCTTTTCTACTTAAACTGTAATTCATTGGAACTATCATCTCTGTCTTTTGTACCCCTCTCCAGTAAATACAAGTTTTATACCTAGAAATCCCTGAGAAGAGATAAAGCAGATGAATATATTGTATCGTAAAGGCAGGAATAACCAGCACAAGAATGATGCAGTAACATTTCATTAATTTGGGGTGAATTGGTCTAAAGTCCTAATCCCTTTTGTCTTTTAAAGAAATTACAGGATTCCTTGAAGGAAACATGCTTTTAGTAACTTTTGCATTCCTATTATAACATGAAGGCCAATATATTCTTAGCAAGTGGAGGACTATAATGGCCCTTGACCCACCTACTCTGGAGTACCCTGTATGGGGTCAAAAGAGCCCCAGTCCCTTTGCAATTAGGATCTTTCTTTGCTACCTGAGGGTATCCAAATTGGCATATCAGAGTCGAGGCCCTGTGCCCCTTAGGTACCTTCTCTATTCTTCCCTCAGTCATGCCTAACTGCCTGGACTAAGGGTTTGGGGGAGAAAGGAGATGGCCTGGACCCCATTCTATCCTCCATATAATTCTCCTCAGTCATGGACAAAACTCTAGTGCCACTTGCCACCTAAGAAGGACACATCATCTTCCCCTGTCCAACCTGTTTCTGGTGGTCAATGTGTGCTTGAATGGACCTGCTAGCTTAACCTGTTGCTTCCTGCTCCATAAGTCTTGGATATTTCTAAGACTCATGGGAATTCCCCTCAACATACCCAACCTTTGACTCTGTGGAAGTGGATTTCCCTCTTCCCTGACCTTCTAAACAGAGTCATGTGAAAAATGAATATTTTTCTCTTGTATTTAATGATTAATTATTGCTTTTTTCCTATAATCAAAAGTTTTATAAGCACATTATTAAATGTTAAATAATAGATTGATGCTGGAACACCTGAGGTTATTATAGTAAGATGCAAGTATAAGATTGAGCTATTTGGCCTAGAACTTTAGAATTAAGTATTTAGCCTTGACATCTGTTACTAGTATATTCCTGTGTAAGTTAGGGTCCTTTAATTCCTCATAACGGTATGGAGATAATTAGGCCAAGGGCTTGTAAAACCAGGGTATTATTCTGTTACTTAGTTAATATCTTACCTGTCTCAGTTTGTTACAATTAAGTAATGTTAAAAAAAAAAAAGAATGGCTTGTGGTCTATCTTGTAAATGCCTTAAACAAAGCATCCACTTTAATTAGGGGTTATTTATTTGAACATGACCAGCAGTTGGAATTGTTTTATTGTTATGTACTGTTTTAAAATTTATCAGTCCATGTATTATGTATGTATTGGAGTCCATCTTTTTATAAAAGTGTTCTATTATTAATTCCTTAGTGGAATCTCATCCTCCTGATGGGTCAATGAATGTGAAGAATAAAACTAAAAACTGGGTTCTAATTTTAAATGAATGTGAAATATAAAAACTGGGTTCTAATTTTCATGTTTTTTATTTGAGTTTCTTAAACATAACAATTGGCCAAGGTTCCAATTCTTATTTTATAATAATAGAGACATAAGGGTTGAGTTAACTTCTATTATTTGACCTGATTATGGCAAGGTAATTTAAAATTGTGTTAAGATCAATCTTGTAGGAGAGTGAACACAAGAAAGAGGATCTCTACAAGAAGACAGTCTGCTGGGCACTGCTTGAACAGTACTCAGACCAGAAAACTTCATCAGATGATATCCCTCCCAGAAGAGACTTCTCAGCCCTTAAATGGACAATTTATTGTTCACTTTTTTCCCTATGCTATTCACTTACTAAGGGGACTGCTCCCTTGATTTGTCAATGTGTCAATCAATTTCTCCCTCCCTTCTCCCATATTGTTATAAGTCCCCAAAACCCCTTGATGAAGTATTGACGATATCAATCAGTGATTCATTGAGAAGGCCACACCTCTCATTAGAATCAGATGGAGGAATGTGAAAAATGATTTCTCTAGGTAATCTGTGTCTTGGAAACTCAGAGTTCCCTCCACACCCTCCCCCCTACTGCAGCCTTTTGTCCAAAGTTCTTCAGAAGGACATTTCTGATAATAACATTGCACTAAATATTCTTATCTTGGTCAGACTCCAAACCCAGGACTGAATTGATTTTATCCTACGTAGGTTCAGGTGGAGACAGATTCCCAAGACTGGGGGCGGTATTTCTTTTGCCCAGATGGTGGGTGATAACAACCCTGTTGACCAAGATTGAGTGACCTGGGTCATGTACTCAAAGACCTTCATTTTAATATTTTTATTAATTTTAATCCCAGTATGTTGACCAATCATGGTTGATTGGCATCCCTTGGGAACACCTACTCTTTCTAAGGGCATATAACTATGTACCCCAAAATCCCAAATTAAGCCAGTTCTGACATGGCCTCCTTAGGGGAGCCCAGTTTTGGACTGTAACTCCAATGCAATGCATGTCAAGCTAGCTCGAGAGAATTAAACCATGTACACATGCACCCTAATCTTGTTTGTCTCTTTCTTAGAACAGACTGTAATAAATAAATTGGGGTTCACATCACCCAATCTACTTTTGTCATAAGACATCATACCAAGTTGACTGTATCTAGTACCTGTACCAAACTCCCCAAAGTTCACACACTGAATGATGGATCAGAATGAATCAGGAGTGAATATGGCTGGGCTTTCAAGCTGGCCATGTCCTTTAACTGTGCTATGGCTTTAATTAAGTATGTTACCCTAAGAGAACTGTTATTTCTTGGTAATACTAACTGTCCAGTCATTCTAGAGTTCTACAGAAATGAGAAACTTCGTGTTAGTACTGAAGTAACCCTTCAGTCACCCACCCAAGAAGCAGCTGCACTGCTGACTTGCTCTGTGACTTTAGGAAAGCATCTTACCCTAACAGAAATCTGGCTTCTGTCTGTTATATCTGCCAGCCAATCTAGGTCTATCGCTGGATCTCTCTGTAAGGAGGAATAAAGTCGCATTCAAACTGGAGAAACTAGCGTGTCACCTAATGCAACAGCCCCAGCACTTACTTGCTTTGTAACTTAGGGCAAGAGATTTTAACATTCAAAACTTTTGAGTGGAAAGGGACCTCAAAGGCTATCTAGCCAAGGAGTCCCCTTGACCACATCCATAAGTAGTCATCCAGCCTTTGGTTTTAACACATCAAGTGAGGGGGAACTTATTTGCAGCTAGGTAACCTCAATGGATAGAGCACTGAGCCTGAAGCCAGGAAGACCTGGGTTCAAATCCAGATTCAGACACTAGCTATTGTGACCCTGTATAAATCATTTAACTTCTGTCTACCTTCATTTCTTCAACTGTAAAGTGGGGATCATAATAGACCTACCTCACAGTGCCTAACACATAGTAGGCCCTTAATAAACACTTCTTTCCTTCCTTTCTTTCCCTCCTCTCTCTATCTTCCTTCTTTTCTTCCTTTCTTCATCCCTCCTTCCCTTCTTTCCTTGCTTCCTTCCTCCCTCTCTCTCTACCTTCCTTGCTTTCTTCCCTCCCTCCCTTTTTTCCTTCCTTTCTTCCTTTCCTCTCTTCCTGACTTCCTAAATCCCAAAGCAATCCATTGCACTTTGTATAGCTTTGATTACTAGTGAGTTTCTCTTTACAGTACAAGCAAATTTTCCTCTCTATAACTTCCACTCATTGCTCCTAGTCCTCTAGTTTCAAGTGTAATCATCTCATTCTGTTCTGATATATCCATTTTATTTGGTGTTTGTTAAGTTCAGAATAAAAATATAATTAAAAAAAGAATTAACCCTCTTGGATAAGTATATTTAATTTTTCACAGTATAATGTTGGGAAACAGCATTCTCTGTGAGTTTGTGGGCTCCTCCCAAGCCATGCAGAAACCTATGAGCTCTATTTAGATATAATGATCTCTTATAATAATAACAATAATTATAAAAAATAGCTAACATTTATATAGCACTTACTATGTGGTAGGCACTGTGCTAAACACTTTACATTTATTATCTCATTTGTTCTTCACAAACAATCCCTTCAAGGTTAGGTGCTATTAATATCCCCACTTTACAAATGAGGAAACTGAGGCAAACAGAGGTTAAGTGATTTGCCTAGGACCACACAGCTACTTAATATCTAAGGTTAAATTTGAATTCAGGTCTTTGACTCCAGAGTGGTCACTCTATTCAATGCACTGCTAGGCTGCCTCTGGACCCTCTTTTAAGAGGTGAGAGGTAGGTACAATGCCTTAACTTTGTCCATTCGGCCTCTTACCCTAAGAGAAATTCTGTTTCTGCTTGTCAGATCTGCTGATGACCTATCCAGGCCTTTCCTAGGTTCCCCTTACAGATAGAAGAATATTCATATTAGAACCCAAGTAACACAACCTGGAACCTTGCTCTGTGACTGGGGGCAAATATCTTACCCTGAGAGAGGTTCTGCTTCTTCTTGACAGATCTATCGGCGTATCCAGGTTGTTCCTAGACTCCATCTAAAGAGAGCCGAAAAGTCACATCAAAACCCAAGTCACCTGCCATTAAAATTACTTTTAATACTCATTCTGATTTATTTTGTGGGAATAATGTTGAACATGATTTTAAGTCCTTGACTTTTAAGAAGTAATTTCATTGATATTTTTGTTTTTGTATCATCATACCCCTTCCCCTTTTTTACCTAGGGAGCCATCCTCAAAACAAAGAAGAAAGAGAAAGAGAAACAAAAAAGTGAACAAAAAAGCTAAATTAAACACAGCAACCCAGTCCGACACCATAGGCAATATTGTTTAGCCATAGTCCCCTGCCTTTGCAAAGAAGGAAAGGAGGTATGGAGTTATTGTCTTGTGATAATAAAAGATATGTGAAGGCATAAACAGGCAAAAAGAAGGCAAAATTAGATTTATCTGAGGATGAAATGATGGTTTACTTAGAAAATTCTAGAGAATCTGCAAAAAAAAGTGAGACAGTTGATTCAGAAGAGTAGCACCATATAAAACAAACTCATAAAAATCAATAGCATTTCTACATAGCAAATAACAAAATCCAAGAGGAAATAATAGAAAGGAAAGTCCCACTCAAAATAACTACAAAATGCTTAAAATATCTTAGAGTCAATTTTCACCCACGCTTTTTATATATTGGCCCAGAGAGGGGGAGGAATCTAACTAGAAAGACTGGGAAATGTCCTGCCCCTTCTCCTAATCCCCAACACTGATTCTAAACGGAGTCAGAATCTGGTCATGGACTCTAAATTTTTACAATTTTAATATTCTGATAGGTGAAATTGCTTGAAGGGCCTTGTACTTTTAAGTGACTCAGGGTTGCTGAGAGATTTCAGTCAGGCTTTAGGATCATTCCATTCTTTTACAGACTACATTATGGTGGCAGGCTTACAAAGTACTCAGTATTGTTTTTAGCTACCTCCTTAATCCAGAATGTCATTGATGGTTTTAAGGGAAAGGCAGGAGATGTGGTTATGGAGAGGGGGCAAGATGAACAGATGGGAAAAAAGAGAAAGAAAAGGGGAACTAAGGGAAAAAAGATGGAAGCCAAAATGATAAAAGAGAGAAAGAGGAGAAAGGGTAATAGAGCTAAAAGGAAGAGAGGGAGACAGGAGGAGAAGTGAAAAGAAAGATAAAGTAGGAAAAGGAAAATAAAAAATTTCTTTTCAGGGAATGGGAAAGAGGGAAAAGGAGAAAATAAAATTGAAACACTTAAAAGAAGTGAGACATAATTAATGACCAAAATCCTGATATTTGGGACTCTTCTTAGTTTAGCTCATTGTGGACATTCAGGAACAGACATGGTGGGGAAAATGCATATTGGGGCCTCCTCAGAAACCCTCAAGCTGAGGATAAAACTGGTTCTTCTTTCATATCACTATAGTCATTCAATACGGAATAAGCATTCAATGCAACATGTTTAGAAAATCCCTACCCTTGGGGAACTTTCAGAAATCAGTCCCATTTGGGCAGTAGGAATAATATGAATCCTGTACAAAATCCCTTTGTATGGTCTTTTTTAGTTTACAAAATACTTTCATTAGTCTTCTGTAATCTTTGATACTTGATTACACAGCTCTGTGGGAAGGCTCTTGTCCTAGGTCTCACAGCTGACAGAGCTGGGACTGGAGCTCAAATCTAACTCTCACCTCAGTGCTCCTGTTATGACACATACAATGCCAGCATGGGGTGGTGGATAGAATGCTAAGCTGAGTCAAGAGCATCCAGGCTAAAATTTTGCTTCTGACACTTAATAGCTGTGTGATGCTGAGGAAGTCACTTAATGCCAGTTAATATTTATATAGCTCTTTGAGGTTTTAAGGGTCCTTTACACATGTTATCCCATTTCATCCTCCCAACTGTTCTGCGAAATAGGTACTATTATTATCACAATTTTACAAATAAGGAAACTGAGGCTCAGAGAAGTCATACAACTGTTAAGTGTTTGAGGTGAGATTAGAACTCAGGTCCATACACTATGCCAGGCTGCCTCTCTGAGTTGTGGTGAGGATTAAAGATCACTTATACAAAACTCTTTGCAAACTTTAAAACACCATACAAATGTGGGTTATTACTAAATGAATGAACAGATATTTATGTTTTTCACATCTCTGATATGTGTTGGTATCCTCTCCTACATTTTTTTTTTGACTGGACCCATGATTTCATTGGTATAGGGAGCACAGGGTGAGAAACATCATCTACCGGTGCAGCCTGGCACTTTCTCTACAATTTCTAGTCTTAGAAATTTGCCTGGGGGCAATGAAAGGTTAAGTGACTTGCCCAAGGACATGAAGTCAGTAGTTGACCCTAACCGGGGACTTGGACTGGACCCCTTAGATTAGCAGGCCAGGTTTCTATCCACTATTGCATGGCTGCCTCTACTATATTAAGCAGTTGAATTTTTAAGACCATTTCTTCTATTTATTTTGTAACAAAAAGCACCCAATTCCAAGGTGTGTATATCAGGGGCACCTCAGTTACAGGGCTCAGTGATCTTGATACACTGTTAAACCTTGAAAACAGGTAAGGTTTGTTAATATATTGGATTATATATCACTAACACAAAGTTTCATTGTTTTATTTTCAGATACATGGTTTCTCAACATGATCAGAGTACAGACCTAACCACACTCTTGAATGAATGAGCTTACGGTCTTCCCATTTTTTTTGTTCCCATTTCCCCCCGTTTTTGTCCAAAGAATCAAAAGCTTAATTTATTTTACAAAGTTTTTGGCTTCCTTTCTGTCTGTTGGAGTCCTTTGGAATTTAGTTTGTAAGTTGGGTAGTCTATTGTTTGTTTACCATTCTTACATTCCTGAGTTTGTCATCATAGCACAAACTATCTCCTGATCCTCAGCTACTTGACAGACATTATCAAGAATTTTTAATTCGTCATGTGATTCTCTGAGAGTTTCTGCACACCCTTCTTGCCTTGTGTAAAAACCACAGCAATATTCTGCCCTTCATTCCTTATTGTGGACCAACATTCCAATGTGTAAATTGCTGCAGCTAGTGCTGGGATCTTGAACATTTCTGCCTTGCTCTTCATGGGCATCTTATTAGTCTTATGTAGACATTAACCCAATTCATTTTTTGTCTTTTGACATACTCTCCATTCAAGTCAATTGTTGTGTCAAAGTTTGAGAATAAGGTTGATTTGCTGTGTTATCTACTCAATCATCCACACACACCATGCCTTGCAGTCAGTTTTTGTTGCAAAATCCCCTTTGTCTTATAGAAAGTCTTTTTTTAAAACTTGGGACTTTCTCTAGCATGCTAAAGAAGTTTCCGCACCTTGGAAGTTCACTCCACTTCTGGACATCTCATACTGGACTTAAACTCCTCCTCATAGCTTTTTCCTCTGATTGTCTGGTTCCTCCTTGAACCTTCCTTTTAAGCAAAATACTCAGACCAGTCACATCCTCATGTCTCTCCAGACTCCACTCCTGACTTTCTGGACTTTGTCTACCACCTCCCCCTAACTACCTTCCCTCCACCTACACCCCCTTTTCAGCTTCCTTTTATGTATTGTCTTCCTCCATTAGAATGTAAGCTCCTTGAGTTCAGGGGTTGTCTTTTAGCTTATATTTGTATTCTCAGTGCTTAGTAAAGTGTCTGGTACACAGCAAGTACTTAATAAGTGCTTCTTGACTTAAATCCTCTGGAATTTTCAGCTTTATGTTTGGACTTTTTTTATGACGTGTGACAAAATTGTTGAACAAAACACAGTCATCTACAAAAAGCAAATGAGCTGTTGCCAACAACATTGGTTTCACTTTTGTAATCCAGGGGCTAGGACAATGGCTCCAAAGTAGCCACAGATCAATTTCAGGATATCTCATCTTCTTGCAAAAGCCCTTTATGGATATTGATTTTTTTGAAGTTCCATGATAATTCTTTCATCGATGCATCTGGTGCTGCTTTCATCAGTATATCCCATTTATACAGAGCTTTTACATAGTTCTCTCCTTACTTTGGACTTATCAAACAGTAGATTAGTATAGTCATTGACTGTTGTGTCTTGCATACTTAACCTATTCCACAGATCTACCATTCTATTTCTTAGCCAGTACCAAGTAGTTTTGAGGGTTGCTGCTTTACAAGGCCTTTTTATAATGCACAAACACAGCCTGGAAGGTCTGGGTAGTCTTTGCATTTCTTTTGTAATCACTGTGATTGGGCAGCCATTTTTAGTCTAGTGTTGTGGAACAACCTCTGAATCTGGAATCAGAGGACCTGGGTTCAAATTCCTCCTCTCTTGCTTAATATCTGCATGACGTTGGGCAATTCACTTAATTTCTTTAGGCTTTAGTTTCTTCATCTGTAAAATGAAGGGGTTGTACCAAATGGCTTCTGAGATATCTTTTAGCCTTAGCTCTGTGATCTTATGATCTCCCTTCTTCACAAAAGCTGATTGGTCCCAACTGGTAGTCCTCCATGTCCTTCTTTTCTCTTTCTTTTTTTTTTTTTTTAGGCAATTGGGAGTAAGTGACTTGCCGAGGGTCACACAGCTAGTAAGTGTCAAGTGTTTGGTCTAAGGCTGGATTTGAACTCAGGTCCTCCTGACTTAAGGGCTGCTGCTCTATCCACTATGTCCTTCTTGATATGTGCATGACAAATCTGTAGATTCACAAAAGGATAGTGATGGGGACATAATTTCTGAAATTTTTCTTAATGCCAATTTCTTAGAAGCAAGAGAGATAATAGTTTTCAATGTTTTCCATATTTGAAGGCCCACTGAAGGCTCACATAAAGATTCTTGCAATAGTTTTCTAATTTGTTTTCTTGGATCAAATCACTCCCCATTCCAATCCATCCTCCACAACCATCTGCCCAAGTGAATTTACTGAACAGGTCTGACTATGTCACTCCCTCTCCCACCCCACTCAATAAATTCCAGTGGTTCCATCTCACCTCTAAGGTCAAATACAAACTATTATGTTTTGTCTTTTAAATGTACCCTGGGCAAGTCTTAACCTTTTTTTCCCTAAGTTTTGGTGCTGTTTTTTTTTTTAAAGTGTGAACCTATCCACACTTTTTTTTTTAAGTGTGAGTACCCAAGAGTACTGTGTGCAACATAGCTTCATCAGCCTTTAAATATTAAGGATAGATGACATCATTTTGGGGGGGCATTTTTTATTTTTACATCTATTTCAAAATGACACTAATGGGTTCTTACAGAAACAGCTCCATAAGAAGGTAGCAAGGGATCTTCAACAGAATTAGAAGATACTACCACTGCCTTTTCATACATTCCATTATTCAATTCAATTCAATTTGACATTGAGTCATGCCTACTATATGCAACACATCATGTTAGATGCTATTGATACAAAGACAAAACAAAAACAATCCCTCATCATTTTGCCCAAAGATTCTTACAATAGTCTTCTAAATGGTTTGAGTCAAGCTACTCCCCATGCCAATCCATTCTACACACAGCTGCCAAAGTGATTTTCCTAAAGATCCTTGAACCCAGGTCCTCTGATTCCAGAGTCAGCACTTATTCCCCAACATTATGCCAAACATGGCCACCCCAAACATAGTCACCCAGTGACTACAAGAGAAATGTGCTCTCCTCCTCTCCCCTCCCCCCAATAAACTTCAATTACTCCATCTAACCTCTAAGATCAAATACAAACTCCTATGTTTGACTTTTAAACAACCTAGCCCCAAACTACCTTTTCCAGCCTTATTTATACATTACCTCCTCTTCCTATATTCTGCATTCCAACCACCTGATCTTCTTGCTGTTCCTCAAACACAATTCTACATTTTTAGTCTCTATGCCTTTACACTAGTCAACAAGTATTTATTAAATGCCAGGCACTGTTTTAAGCACTGGAGATTCAAATATGGGGGGGGGGAGTGTCCCTGTCCTCAAGGAGCTTACAATCTAACAGGGGAAAACAACACATAAAGGAAGCTGAAAAGGGTGGTGGGAGAGGAGGAGAGAGTACCCAACATGGGGTCATAGTGGAGAAGTCAGTCAGAGAAAACCGAAAGTAGTGCAGCCAGGTGAGAAATGAGGAGATGTCTGAGCTGAGCTGTCTCCTTAAATGGAGGTTTGTAGTTCAAGGCCCTATCCTCCAATCAGAGAGGCAAAGGGTAGTGATACGGTGGAGGACCAAGATTGATGAGATCTTGCAGGATGATGAGGTTATCCCAATAGATGTCCTCTGTGCCTGGAATGCATTCCTTTCTCATCTATACTTCCTGAAACTATGGTTTTAATACTTCCTACCTTCCTCAGATGGCTTTTCCCGATCCTCTCAGCAACTACAGCCCTCCCTTTCAAGGTTTCCTTATATCACTGTTGTACAGGCCCATTTATATGCATGTTCCTTCTCTGTTAGAATGGGAGCTCCTTGAAACCTGAGACTTTTACTTTTGTCTTTGTATTCCTAGAGCCCAGGAGAGTTCTTGACACAGAGCAGACACTTCCCTCATTCACCATTGTTGCTTCACTTTGGATGAGCACTCAATGCAATATTCTCAGAAAAATTTTTACTCTTGAAGTTTCCAGAAATTAGCTCTATTTAGTCATCATAAGTAAAACTCATCCCTTACATTTATATAGCCTTTTGGAGGGTACCTATGAGAAAAATGGTTATTTCTCTCTTGTATTTAATAACTAATTATTGAATCAGGACCAAGTTTTTTCCCTCTTTCTACTTCCTCATTCAGAAATCAACCACTATGGGAAATCTTGGGTAAAGACTTACCCAGGCTAAGATCTAATCAGGTAGAAAAAGAAATTCTAAGTTTAGGTTAATAGATAGATTCCTGCTCATTGTGTTTACTTAAGACAGGTCTGGGAAAATGTGGATTGTCCCTTTTGTCAGACAGGTGATATGGAAGTTGATAAGTCTCTTTGACCAAGACTTAGGTGATTCAAGTCACTCTACCTCAAGATGCTCATTATAATTGAGAAAGTTGATTCATTGAGAACCCCTACTCTATTCCAATTAATATTAATCAATTTGATATAAGGGTAGTGATTATAAGATCTGTATATTTGGCTCCAGAGATGTGAGCTGCAGATGGTAAACTCATTTATGTAATCATAGGAAGCTAGCCACATGCTCTCTACCCTTGTTTTTCCTTGTCATGGTGACCAAGTCCAGTGTGGCAGAGGTGACTCAACTACATGTCTTCTAAATTTACTTTTGTACCTTCTGACCATTCTCTCTTGTCCAATATGAACAGGTGTCCATCTTTTGACCATCTTATAACCCCGTAGTCAGTGGAGATATTCTTTGCTTCTCCCAATTTGTAACCCTGCTGCCCAACCTGTAACCCTGTTAATAGTATTGTTTTGCTTATTTTAGCCTATGCATAGTATGTCAACCAATGAAATTATTCTGTATTTGGCATAGCTGGTCTTGAATGTTTAGATATCTAACCCTTAAAAATAAAGCCCTGGAAGGAGGGGGCATCTCAGATCATGAGGATGATCAGAGGTCTACTTCCTTAGAGGGAACTATGAACCCTTTAATAAAGTGCCCTTGGCTCAGAGCTCTGCCTCAGTCACTCATTATAGGTTGGATAATTTTTATCCCTATGTAATATAGCCAGCCTCTCATTATAATATTCATTCTCTCATTACCCACTCTTCCAAGGATATATAAACTGTGAACCCACTTTGAGGGGTCTGGCATTCGAGAGTTCCGCTGATCTCTTTTATTAATAAATATGCTAGCCTTATTAATAAAATGATTAAATTACCCAGAAATTATGTCTCTCAAACTTTTAAAATGTCACACCTATATTATTTCATTTATCAGTACTCAAAATATCCCTTGATGGAATCAGGGCAGGAAAAATTTTTTAAAAAACAGATCGGGGAGATAGGGTTTAGAAGGTATAAGTGGTTTGTGCCTCAGACTACCCAGGCATTTTATGACCCAGTTGGAACTAGAATCCATGCCTTCTGATTTTTTGGCCAGGACTCTTTCCATTACTACACCTCATTGAGATTCAAAGCGAAGTGTAGGAAAAGCCCGGACTCAGCATTAGGACTTGAGACTCACCTCCTGCTCTCTCCTTTCTTGAGCCAATGGGAAAGTATTTGTTTTCTTCTGCGACTCCTGGAGCTTTAAAAGCTTCTCCACAAGAAACATCTTGTCTTTTCCCTCCTGTACAAAACGAGAGTAGTATGAAGGTATGGGGAACAGGTGGCAAAAGTGAGGGAAGACTCTTGGAAAGAGGAAGTAGTTTGATTTTCATACTTCATTAGAACATTCAGTTTGGAGAAAGGGTTAGAAGAATTGGATGAAGAACAGCTATCATGTTTTTTCTTGGTGTGAAATGAAATTGTTACAGATTTTGACTAAAACACCAACACCTCATTTTCTCTTCCTTCTCTAATGGGCCATGCATAGTGATGCATCCCTCTAAATCTAGAAAATTGGAGGTGCTTTTGGTCTTGGTGCCAGAAGGAGAGTTGTATTTCCTAGACCTCTTGGGCAAAATTATGACAAATATGAAGTTGTCTTCTGTACTCTTCCTTTTCTTTTTTCTTTTCTTGGTATCTCTCTTCACATTTCCCTCCCCATTCTGGTAGTCACTCTATGTCCCTAGTAAATGCTAGATCTACCCTTCCTGACTCATTTCCATGCAATTCCTCTTCTCTAACCACTCCCCAGAGAGCTTGTCCCAGCCTTGCATTTCCCTGTCCATTAAAGGCAATGTAGGCATTCTGTATTTCATTTCCTCAAGAGTATAAGGCCTCAACCAGTGAAGTTAATGAAGTAAATTGCACCAAGAGATCAGGTCTAGGAAAACTTCTTCCAAGTATTAATATACTAGTATTTTAACTGAGACCTGGGCACAATGCCCTACCCAGGTGATTAGGGACTCTTATTTTTAGGCCAGAAATTCTGTAGACAAGGTGTGTTTGGTCACATTCTTTGTAGATTGCTCCATAAGCAATTAGATTGCTTACTGTAGATTGCAGGAAGTCTTCTGTTGTAGCTCAGTCACTGGTCTGAGACACTGCAGATGAAATTCATAATTCATGTATGGATTGTAATGGGTAACCTTGGAGGACCCTTCAAATGTTGAGATTCTATGATTCTAAGTAGCTACACCTACTCAGGTATGTGTAGGGCCAGCCTGTGCTATATGTCTGACTGAGAGTAAACCCAAATTCTGCTGAGTTCTGTCACTCAGGTCATTTAGATCCATGTTTCTTTTTCTTTCTTTCTTTTTTTTTTTAGTGAGGCAATTGGGGTTAAGTGACTTGCCCAGGGTCACACAGCTAGTGAGTGTTATGTATCTGAAGCTGAATTTGAACTCAGTTCCTTCCAACTCCAGGGCTGGTGTTCTATCCACTGTGCCTAGCTGCCCCTAGATCCAAGTTTCTTAGAAAATTTTTTGTCAAACTGTCTCACTGTATACAGAAACTTATTCACAGTGATGACAGCTATATGATGATTCTGGGATACATGATGGAGGAAATAAATCTATCCTACTACCAAACCCCAGTGTATCAGTGACCCATCCACACCCTCATTATTAAGCAGAATTTTAGTCCAAGGATAACCCCTATGACATTTATATAATTAGGGAATCTAATTTTTTCTTTATCCCCACTGGGAATATCCATAAGCTCTTCAGGTTTTTAGCAGAGGAGTTCTTAACCTTTTTTATTTCATGGACCCCTTTGGAAGTCTGGTGAATCCTACGGGCCCCTTTTCAGAATAATTTTCTAAATGCATAAAATAAGATTATAAAGGAAACTAATTATACTGAAATATAGTTATATGCACATATACATACATATATACATGTGTATTATATATATACACGCATATATGTATATATACACACATCTACATATATACATATATACACATATGCACACGCACACACACACATACACACACACACACACACACACACACACACACACACACACACACCAAATTCATAGACTCTAGATTAAGAGCCCCTGCTTTAGCAGGACCCAGTGAGGAAATGGGACCCATAGAATACTTCCATGATTATTCTCAAGTTTAAAAGAGAAAAAGAGAACAACAATAGTAAGAAACTTGCATTGATGATCTGTTCATGTAGGAGTTTGATCATGATCTTCCTTCCTTCAATTATCTGCCAGTAAAGATATGTGATTATCCTTAAAAAAAAAAAAAAAAGAAAAATGCAAATAATTCTGGCAGAGATCTATGGTATTGTGCTAACAAAGCAAGCAAGGAAGTACAATTGAGTTCTGAAGGCAAGGCAGCTATGCAGCTAATACCCCCAAGGACAACATCTCTCTCATGCTAGGGTTGCTACTATATTGTAGATATGAACAGGGGAAAATAGGACTTCTACAGGTATTCCTGTAATACTAGTTAGCATTTACACAATACTTTAAGGTTTGCGAAGCACTTTATATGTGTTACCTTCTTTGATCCTCACAACAATCCTGGGAGGTAGGGGTTATTATTATTCCCATTTTACAGATGAGGAAACTGAGGCAAACAAGCTTAAGTGACTTGCCCAGAATCACATAGCTAGCTAGTGTCTGAGGCCAGATGTGAACTCAGATCTTCCTGATTCCAGGCTGGGTGCTCTATCCACTGTGACACTCAGTTGCTCCATCTGCTTCTGACTTCCGGAATTCAAACTCATGCATCAGCTGTTGGCCTATGCTAGAAGTTCCCTCAGCACCTGGGCCTCTTTGCCCTAGAACATTCAACCATTACTGTGACCTTCTCACCCTGGAATATCCTTCTGTCAGATCAGCCCCCTTCTCCCACTGGTGAGTTTCTCTTGGGGTCTCCATTTTGTTGAGGGGACTAGCCTGGTTAGTCTTCATTCCCCTCCTGGCTCTGATCTTGACTTCTGAACTTCAAAACCATGCCCCTGTACTAAGTACCTTTACCCCACTTTTTAAAGCTCTCTTTTGTGTCTTGTCTCTTTGAGGCAGGGGTTGTCTTTCTTTCTGTTTGTATTTGTATGTTCAGTATTGGAACAGTGCCTGGCACATAGTAAGTGCTTAATAAATAGTTGTTTCTTTGTTTCCTTTCTTCCTTGAGGCCAGTGACAGTACATTCTGAAGCACTCCCTTTGGGTCACAAATCTTTTTGATTTTTGGTTGGCTTAAAAGCAACTGAGTTTTCTGCTTTCTGATGGTTTAGGAAAACAGTTATGCTTTGTTTTACACCTCAGTATGTTCAGCAATAGTTGTGTGTATAGGAGGTAGATAAAGGAAAGTTATTTGATTTACTAGAGAAGTTTACAGCTCCTTTATTTGGAACTTAGTTGATGATAATAATGATGATGATGATGATGGTGATGATGGCTAACATTTATATAGCACTTTTAGGTTTGCAAAGCACTTTACAAAATTTATCTCATTTGATTCTCACAACTCTGGGAGCTAGGTGCTATTATCCCTATTTTACAGATGAGGAAACTGAAGCAAATTAAGATAAGGAACTTACATGGAGTCACACAGCTAGAATGTATCTGAAGCCAAAATGTGAACTTAGGTCTTCCTGACTCCAGGACCAGTGCCACATCTACTAGGCCACTAAGCTGCCTGGGCTTACATCTTTCTCTAGTAGAGTACCACTGGCAGCCTACTGGAGGAGATTAAAAATATCGCCTGGGTAATAGAGATGATTTGATTGAACCAGTCTATTAAGTCAGAATTCTTTTTGGCTGAACTTATTTCAGAGGATCAATCAGAGAATAGCAAAACTAAGAAAAGCCAGGAGCACTGGGGTGGAGATAGGGAAGTTTCCTCTGCCAGAAGTTGATAATGGTTCCTTTAGGGCAGAGATACAAGAAAGGTGTGTATAAGTTCGTCTGAGAAGGCAAATCCTTGGACTTCTAATTCCTGGCCTCACACTTGAAGAGATTGTGACTTAACTTCCCAGAGTAAGAGATAACAGCTATGGAGAGGGGTACCATGTGGTACAAGCACTGGGAGTTCCTGAATCCTAGCCTCCACAATAAAGAGATTTCTTGGGCAGCATGATTCCATAATCCAAACTTCAGTGTTAGCCACAGTACTGCCTTGTCAAACACCTGCAAGTTTGAGAGCTCCAAAATCCCATCTTCCAGAGAGTTCTTTGGGTATCACTAGCCTTTTCAGGAGAAAAAATAATCAGTATGAGGCCCCCTGGAGCATTAAGAATAACAAAGGACTAAAGTCACAATGTGAAGGAGCAAAAGATTCCGACATTGCTCTCTGCTCTTACTGTGAGGTGGTATAAGGCTGGATGTTTGTATGGGCCTCTGGGGTAAGACTGACATTTACTGGAATGTTAGAAAGATGCTCATCTAGCAACCTAAAATGCACTTCTCTTCCAAGAAGGAATCCAAGTCCTTAGGGTAGTACTGTAAGGCTGGATGCTACATGGGTCTAAGTAATGAAAGGACTCATGGAATGTTGAGAGGTTTCTTTCTTAGGAATCTCAGATTTGTTTCCCTTCCCAGTACGTGGGACACACTGAAAAGGGAAGGAGAGTCACATGTACTATTTATGTGCTCCTCTGAGTCCTTTGTAGGGCAGCTAGGTGACACAGTCGATAGAGCACTTAGCCTGGAGTCAGGAAGACCTGAGTTCAAATCTCAGCTCAGACATTTATTAACTATATGATCTAGACAAGTCACTTAATCCTGCTTGTCTCAGTTTCCTCATCTGTAAAACGAGCTGGAGAAGGAAATGACAAACCACTCCAGTATCTTTGCTAAAAAAAATCCTAAATGGGGTCACGAAGAGTTGGACGTGACTGAATAACTGAGTCCTTTATGTTGTTTTTGCTTTTTCTGTGGGGTGGAATGAAAGCTGTTCTGTATCTGTAGCTGATGGTTACATTGAGAGCTTGTATGGGATCTAGAGATTCTTTTATCCACATCTGTGGAGACCTAGATCTGAACTATATTTGGATATTACCTACAGGGAACTTTGGCTGGGAGCAAAGCAAGTCAAAGAATTCTGGGTTGGGGGGAGGGGCTTCCTCCAGGAGCTGGCGTATATGTGTCCAGAGCTCAGCTCCTGGACTATATGTTGCATGTGTAAATGTATCATACTTCAAATACATGGAGTAGTTCAATAGCTTGAAGAATCTAATGTCAGGGTAGTATCATAAATAGACTGCACCAGGAGTTAGAAGAGCAGGATTCTAATCCTAGCTCTGCCAGTGACCTTATTCAAGTAAATTTACTTCTCTGGACCTCAGTTGCCTTATCTGTAAAATGAAGCAGCTGTATTAGATGGTATCTAAGATACTATTCAGCTTCACCTTTCTATGCAGTAAATAACCACACTCTATATTTTGCTTAAATTCAGATTTTCATACAACAACTTTGTTTAAATGGGGCTACAATCCTAGCAGAAAATGTTTAGGCCTGTGATTCAGAATCATTGATTTGACAAATGCCATCTAAACAGCCTATCTAGCTACACTATAAGAAATCTGAGTGAGCACTCAGTCTTTGCATTCTGTACATCTTTTTTGCTTTTTGGTGAGGCAATTGGGGTTAAGTGACTTGCGCAGGGTCACACAGTTAGTCGAGCGTCAAGTGTCTGAGGTCAGATTTGAACTCAGGTACTCCTGACTTTAGGAACGGTGCTCTATCCACTGCACCACCTAGCTGCCCCTCAGTCTTTGCATTCTGAACAGCTGAGGGGCTGCCTCTTCATATACAGTATCACACAGGTTTTAATTGTTTAGTGTCACACTGTGAATAAATGTCAAAGGTAATAAAACCCAAGTCTTGTCCTTCGCTGCTATGAGTTTCCTAAACCTCCTACCAAACAATTTTGGTTATAATAGAACATGCTTTTCACTGCTTTCTAACAACATTAGGGATAGAGACTAGAGAACTCTCAGACGAAAAAACTTCCCCAAACTTCCCCAAAACTGCCAAAATCTATAGCCACAGTGACACATGGTCACCACTGTAAAAAATACAATCTTGTGCAAAGCCACTGAGTGAATGAAATACTATAATTTCATCAAAGCCTAATGCAGTGCTGCCTAATTTTAGAGGTGGTTGATGGTATAGTGGATAGAACAACGGAGTCCAGAAGAACTGAGCTCAAACCCAACCTCAGATACATTTTGTGTGACCCTGGGTAAGTCACTTAACATGTTTGCCTCAGTTTCCTCATCTGTAAATTGGGGACAATAATAGCGCCTACCTTACAGGGTTGTTGTGAGAATCCAATGAAATAATATTTGAACAAGCACTTAGAACAGTGCCTAGAACATAATAGGTACTATATAAAAATGCTTATTCCCTTCCCCTGTTCCCTTCTCAGTTTTTCCTGAATTACCTTACCCTATTTTACCTATTCTTTCTCCACTTATTTCGTACTGCTGCTAAGAACTCCTTCAGGATTTCTGCCTGACTTTGACTTTGTTTATCCTTGTACTATGATATAGCAGAAAAAAAGAGGGCTAAATTTGGTATTAAAGGACATGGGTTCAAATTCTGTCACTTTCTACTTAAGTAACTTTTGTGGAGTCACTGAACTTTTCTGGGTCTCAGCTGCCTCATTTGTAAAATGAGGGAATTGGACTTTGTGGCATCTAGTTCTTTTCAACTTTAAATCTATGATCCTATGAATTCTGCCTTGACCTCAGAAGACTTTCTGTTTGTCTTCTTGAACTTTTAGGGGACTCCCCGTACCAGTGGAAAGGTGCAGAGAAAAAAAATCAATAATATTAATAATATTTGACCCTTATGAAACCACTTGAAATGTACAAAATACTCTACATATTTTATTTCATTTGATCCTCACAATAGCCGTATGAGGAAGTATTTCAGCTATTAAAGCTAACCTACTGCACAAATCTCCTCTACAACATTCCTTGACAGCACTGTAGTCAAAACGTGCAGTGATAGGAAGCTCACTACTACCCATGAAGCAGGTAGTATTATTATCTCCACTTTACAGATGAGGAAACTGAAGCTCAGAGAAGCTAACCAACCTGCCCAGAATTATTCGGGTAGGTAAGTTTCTGAAGTAGGATTTAAACCCAACTCTTCATGATCCCAAATCTACTGCAATATCTAATATATTTTGTTATATGCCCAAGGAAACAACCAAAGAAAGAGAAGGAATCGTAAGACACGTAGACAGGACTTGATCAAAAATCCTTGCGTAGTGATTATGGGGAAAGCTGTTATGCTCACTTGCCCTAAAAGGTGAACTCATAAGAGGTCAAAGTACGACTGACTCTGGGAACAAGAAACAGCATAGACTCAAATCACTGGCACTTCCATTAGAGTTCTTAATAGTAATACTGTTGGTTTGAAAGACTTAGGCACTCATTAACACAATGACCAACATGGATTCTAGAGGATTCATGGTGAAAAATGCAACCCATCTCCAGGTAGACAGATAATGGAATGGAGACTAAAGTGTGTGTGTGTGTGTGTGTGTGTGTGTGTGTGTGTGTGTGTATGCATGTGTGTATATATATATATATATATCTATATATATAAAACACACATATATCATATATATGTATTTAGATGGGGCTAATTGGGAATTTGTTTTCTTTGACTGTACATATTTGTAATGGTTATGTTTTTCTTGCCTTCTTGAAGGTAAGGGGGAAGGAGAGAATTTGGAGCTAAAAATAAAATAAAATTGAATGTTAAAAATTTTAGATAGTAATACTGCTGGAATGAGAGGCAACATAGAGAGAAAACTGGGTTTGAAGTCAGGAAGTCCTGCCTCTAACACATACTGGCTGTGTGACCCTGAGCAAGTCATCCTTCCTAGACAGCTCTCTAAGACTGTAAGTTGCAGAGAAGTTTTTGATGTGTGTGGTTGGGGAAGTTTTTTCGTCTGAGAGTTCCCTAGTCCCTATTCCTAATGTTGTTAGAAAGCAGTGAAAAGCGTCTTCTATTATAACCCAAATTGTTTGTTAGAAGGTTTAATAAACTCATAGCAGTGAAGGACAAGACTTGGGTTTTATTACCTTTGACATTTATTCACAGTGTGACATTAAACAATTAAAAAAAAATCATAGAATCTTGGATTTGGAAGGGTTTTGGCCATTAAAGCTAATCTCCCAATGCATACATCTCCTCTACAATTTTCCCCAAAGGCCTCTACTTCAACATTTCCAGTGATAGAAAACTCACTATTTACTTCATTCTATTGTTGGATAGTTCTAATTTTTAGAAAATTCTTTATTTTGAGATAGGATACACCTCCCAGGGACCTCCACTGTTTGGTCCTCATTCTATCCTGGAGCAGCAAAAAAGAAATCAATCTATTTCTCTTTTTACATGATAGACCTTTAAATATTTGAAGAGTTACCATGTTATCCCTAGGTCTCTTTCCCTTCAGGCGAATTCTCAGAGTTCCTTCAATTGCTGCTCATGTGGTATGGTTTTCAGATGCCTCATCATCCTTTATCAAACTTCTATCAATTTATCAATGTCCTCTAAAAATCCAGAATGCAGAAGCTAAGCCTATTAAACTTAACTATTGTTCAGATGTTATCTGACCACAGAGCTGGATGGCACAGTAAATAGAGTACTGAACTCATAATTAGAAAAACTTGATTTCAAATCTGACCTCAGACACTTACTAGCTGTGTGACCTTGGGCAAATCACTTTAACACTGTTTGTCTCAGGTTCCTCAACTGTAAAATGGGGATAATAATAATACTGAACTTACAGGGTTGTTCTGAGGATCAAATGAGATAATATTTCTAAAGCACTTTGTAAACTTTAAAGGGCTATATAAATGGTGGTGACCATGACATCATTAGGAGTTTAAGTTAATTAATCTTTGGACCTCAGTATTCATATCTGTAAAACAGAGATCCATCTGCTTTATCAACTTTGCAGAGTTACTATGAGGATCAAATAAGAGAATGAAGTCAAAGTGCTTAGAAAAGTGTGAAAAAGTGTAATACTGTCATCAACATCACCACAATTTGAGTACCAGCCTATCAATGGACACTCCATCTCCCACCAACGTGCCTTTGCACTGGCAATCTCCCATGCTTAGATTGCTCTCCATCTTCACCTCCTTTTCTTAGAATCCTGGTTTCCTTCAAAATTCAGCTCAAACACCACCCAGGAGCTACCACTGAGAAGTCCCCAATACTGGTAGAACTTTCACCTCTAAAGTTACTTCCTATGTATTTTATATTACCTATTGATATACATGTTGTCTCCTTCATTAGAATGGGAGCTGAGGGTAGAGACTGTTTTTTACTTCTTCTTTGTAACCCCAGCACTTAACCCAGTGTCTGGGACATAGCAAGCACTTATTAAGTGCTTGTTGAATAGTTGATTAGTTAATGTAACTAAAAAATAATGAATGCTCAGACCTTTTAACCCAGCTATCTTACTACTGGATACACATTCCAAGGAAATCAGAGACAGAGAGAAATGTCTTAAATAAACCAAACTATTAGGGGCAGCTAGGTGGCACAGTGGATAGAGTACCTGCCCTAGAGTCAGGAAAACTTGAGTTCAAATCCAGCCTCAGATACTTACTAGCTATGTGACCCAGGGCAAGTCACTAAACTCTAATTGCCTCAAAAAAAAGTTGAAAAAACCATATATACCAAAATATTCATAGCAATGCTTTTTTGTTGTAGTAATAAAAACAAAAACAAAACAACAACCCACCAAACCACAAAGTGAGAAACAGACTGGTGTAGTAGAAATACTAATGCATTTGGAATTGGATCATTTGTGTTCCTAGCTCTGGTATTTACTACCAGGGTCACCTCGATCCTCAGTTTCCTCACTTACAAAATAAGGAGGGTGGACTAGATGACCTCTCAGGTCAATTCTAGCACTATATCTATGATTTGGACTATGTTCCCTCCTGGGGAGTATGAATTGTTTCATTCATTGCATTTGTTCACCAGTGTCTTGTCCATTATAGGTGACTAACAAATGCTTATTGATTAGTGATTCTGTGGTCCTATGAGCATCCATCAACTGGGGAATAGCTAAACAAAGTGTAGAATAAAACACTTTTTAAAAAGCAATGGGCTCTTAAAGTGACTGTATATAAATTGGTTTCTCTCATACATCAGTACAAATAATAATACCTGATATTTATATAGCACGTTTAAAGTTTGCAAAGTGCTTTACATATATTATCTGATTTGAGTTGATCGATATGATGACCAAGTCATAATAATATTTTATTAATAATGAAAAAAAAACAATAACTGGGATTTGTATAGCATGTTCAACTTTTCAAAGCACTTTCCAAAAGATGTAGGATCTCATTCTGTCCATCCTTTAACTAGTTGGATAGGGCAGGCAGTATTATTTCCATTTGCCTAAGGTACAGAGGCAGCTAGGTGGCTCAGTGAATAGAGTACTAGTCCTAGAGTTAGGAAAACCTGTGTCCAAATCTGGCCTCAGACACTTACTAGCTGTGTGACCTTTAGCAAGTCACTTAACCTCAGTCTGCCTTAATCCACTGGAGAAGGAAATGACAAACCACTCCCATGGATAGCATTGACATGCCATGGTCCATGGAGTCACGAAGAGTCAGACGTGACTGAACAACAATAAGAAATAGGCAATATTTCCATTTCTGAGGTACAGAAATGTTAAATAATTTGCTTAAGGTCATGGAGTTTGTTAGAGGCATAGTTTGAATGAGAAGTCCCTTCTCCTAATGCCAGGTCCTTTGCTCTTTCCACTAAACTTAAGCTTACCAGGGCCTTATGTATCAATTTTTTTTTCTTATGTTTCTTCAGTAAGCTATTTCTTCTACCCTCTCTCCCACCCACAATCCTATTCCCAAAGTCTTAATTTTTCTCCCTTATTTTACTTTCTTGTTCTACTTACACGACAATGAGAGTGAGGATGAAGAAGAAATGCACACTCCCGATGAGATTCCGATAAATCCACACTACCCATAAGTAGCTAGGTCTGTTGCTAAGTATCTCAATCCATCCATAGATTGCATGGATGATGGAAGGCAGGCCTTGGAAAGGACCACACTGGGCTGAAGGCTTCAACCTGAACAGAAAAGGAACATGAGGTAAATTTGGTTCTAAAATGACTGTGTCTTCTCTGATATCCCTCTTGTCACTATTTTACTGATATTTGACTTGTTCTGTAAACCTGAAATCAAAGAGATTTCTCAGCCATGGACTCAGACGAATAACTGCTGCAAAGTTAAGAGTTCTCCTAATATAGTAATAATATTAATAATGTTATCATTAATAATAAATAACATCTAATATTTATGTAGCATTTTACCCTTTACAAAGCACTCCCTTGGAGCAGCTAGGTGGCGCAGTGGAAAGAGCACCGGCCCTGGATTCAGGAGGACCTGAGTTCAAATCAGGCCTCAGACACATAACACTTACTAGCTGTGTGACCCTGGGCAAGTCACTTAACCCCCATTGCCCAACCAAAAAAAACCAAACAAAAAAACAAACAAACAAAAAAAAAAGCACTCCCTTCCTCTCTACTGAGTACTGCTCAGCTAGATGGCACAGTGGGTAAAGTATTGGGCCTAGAGTCAAGAAGACCTGATGACTAATGTGAAAATACGTTTAATATGATTGTACATATATAGCCTATATGAGTTTGTTGGTCATCTTGGGGAGGAGGGAGAGGAAGTAGAAAAAAATTTTGAACTCACAATCTTATGAAAGTGAATGTTGAAAACTAAAAGAAGAGGAAGATGAGTTCAAATGTGGCCTTGGACATTACTAGCTGTGTGCTGTGTACTTTGGACAAGTCATTTAACTTCTGTCTTCTCAGTTTCCTCTATCCCCCTCCCAGTGTTCATGTGAGAATCAAATGAGATAATATTTGAAAAGTGCTCAGTGCCTGTCACATATGGATGCTCAATAAATGTGTGTTCCTTTCCCCCCTTTCCTCTTAAGAGAGACAATAAGAGTATTATTAATATTATCTTTTTTTGGGGGGGGGGAGTGACTTTTATGTGCCAGGCAGACAAAGTTTAAGTGATTTTTCCAGGGTCACACAGCTGGTAAATATCTGAGGTGGGATTTTAACTCATCCTCCCAGTAATGTGCTGGATGCACCCAGTCCATTTGGGCTTATGTGGGCTGATGGTTAAATTTTCAGTGTGAGCATTTTTCCAGTACAAGTATTATTAACCTTAACTTTACAGATGAGGAAGGAGAGCATTTATGACTCTCTCATGAATACACAGCAGTTAAGGCGTCTCAGAGCCACCTTCTGAATCCAGTCTTAGAACTTCAAGTTCAATGCTCTTTTCACTACACCATGCTGATCATACCCTTTTTCTGGTCACTTTAGTTTTATTGATGTGTTTTCTTTTTACATTACATACATTTGCAGATTGTTTACACTTTGTGTGAGATCTTTTACAACAATGTAAAAGTTAAATAAAACTAATAACATAGTGAACTCATCTGAAAGTTCTTTTTTCACATCTGTAGCCCTCTCCTTATCTTTTTTTTTTAATTAACAGATGTCTATTTCCTCTCTTTCCCACCTTCCACCCCACTGGGGTGGGGCAGCGGAGGGAACAAATTAATTTCTTGCAATAAATATGCATGGTCAAGCAAAATAAATTCCCCCAAAGGCCGTACCCTAAAATATTTATAGCTCAATCCGTATCCTAAATGACCCTGTAATAGGTATCATATTTCATCATCAATTCTCTGGAATCATAGATGGTCATTGTAGTGATTGTAGTTCTAACAGCTTTCAAAGTGGTTTGTTTTTACAGTGTTACTGTCATTGTACAAATTGTTCCCCTCGTTTTGCTAATTTCATTCTTCATTAATCCATAAATGTCCATCAAATTGTTCATTTTTATAATATTGATGTTATAGTATAAATTGTTTTTCTACCCATACTTTTAAGGGTCTATTAAGAGTAAAAATAAGATATGCCCCTAGGCCTAAGTACTTTTCCAATAGTAACCCCCCTCCTCCCAGCTTCTACTTTACCAAATTATGCTAATCAATATGTACTAGGGTACTAAGGACTTGACTGAAAAGAATTTAGTTCTAGGATTGCCAATTACTCCGGATTCACAAAACTGATCTCTCTTTTAACTTATTATTATTATGATTAATAATCACATGTATATAGCATTTTATAGGTTAAACACCCTTCACTTCACAGTACTACCTACCTCAGTAGGTAGTAATAGTAATTTTATCCCCATTTTATAGATGAAATAACTGAGGCTCAGGCAAGTAAATAAAGTAACTTGCTTAAGGTCACATGACTAATAAGCTAGATCATGTCTAGCCTGATTTATTGGCCTTTTTCTTGAGTATATTCCATCCATTTTGGGGAGCACAGAAAAGAGAGAATATAAAACATTCCCTGACTTGGCAACAGAGAATAGCTGAAGGATCTGGTACCATATGGGCTAAAAAGTTGTGAAAACTTAGATACTAAAAGTTAATGTGGATCATTTTTAGTTTTATTTGTTAATTGATAGTTGAGGTAGGTTTCTTTTTCCTTCCCTATCCTTTAAAAAAATGTTATGTACCTAGATCAAAGTGCTTGATGTCTTAATGAGGGGGAGGTGAGAGAGGAAGGGAAAAATTTGGAACTCAATTTTTTAAAAAATTGAAGGTTAAAAATTGTCTACACATGTAATTGGGAAAAATATTATTTAAAAAAAAATGTTTTGAGGTATGTAACCTATATTGGATTATTCACCATCTCCAGGAGTGGAAAAGGGAGGGGAAGGAGGGAGAGATGCAATTTGGAACTCAAAACTTTAAAAAAAAAAGTTTAAAAATTGTTTTAACATATAATTGGGAAGAAAAACAAAATATAATAAAATGCTATGAGGAGAAACTTGATGTAGTATATGGAGAGCTGGCCTCAGAGTCAGGAAAACCTGGGTTCAAGTCCTGTTTCTAACACATCCTGGCAAATCACTCAACCTCTTAATGTTCCAGACCATTCTCTAAGACTTCAAGCTGAAATGTTGGGTGCCAATCTGCACCCATAGCTAGAAGCTTCCCCACTGAGAGTTCCCTAAATGAATGAAATCACAGGCCTGATTTTTAAAAAGCCACAACTATTACTGAAATATTTCAATATCAGTTAATAAGGAAATAGCATTGCTTAGATTCTTTCCCCTTACTCCCTCCCCAACTCTTCCCCAAATGGCATTTAAAACATCCATAATCACAGAGTCATCTCTTACCTCCAGACAGTGATGGCTAGGACACATAGCACCCCAGTAAAAGATGGGAAAAACAGTAGGAAGATAAAAAGAGTCATCATCTGAGAGGCACGCCAGACTTTGCTTGGAGGCAGACAGTTCATCATTAAGCTGATCTGAAGGAAGAGTGATCCAGTCTCCCATCAATTTCTTTATATGTCTTTCAAACCTCAACTTTTGGTGTCCCATTGACTCCCTTTCCCTCCTCCCTCTTCTCTCTAATGCATAAATAGATGCAGTGTTGAGAGATACCTTTCCCTCCTTTAACCACAACACTAAATCATGTTTGGTTTCACTGGTGGGTTCCAAGACATCACTTACTCTTTTGACATTAAGCATGATGAAGAGTGTGATCATGTGGATGAAGGGCAGCAGAGGAGCGAAGAAGATGCCAATCCTGCAAAGAGAAAGAGGGTCATTACTTTCCCATAGTATACTCAATAATAGTAGTTAACATTTACACAGCACTTTAAGGTTTGCAAAATGCTTTATGTATATTATTTCATCTGAGCCTCCTAATAACCTATTATGTTCTATTATTATTTCCATTATACAAATAAGGAAACAGGATCAGAGATATCAAATGACTTGCCCAGGGTCATGCAGCTACTTAGTATCTGAGTTAGAATTTGAACCAAGGTCTTCCTAACTTTCTCAAGGCCAGAAACCAAATCAGTAGGCAATTCTCATTTAGTAGAGAGTGTCTAAAATAACATATTAAAAGTCATTAAAAAGAGGGGGTGGGGAGAAAAAGCAATCCTTAAGTGGTTCAAGATATCTAGTAGCAGTTCCACTTCATCTAGGAGCCACCCACCACCTAGATTGTCAAGAATTAAAATGTATGGTAAGCTTAGAGATGAGAAGATTTAGGGGAAACACGGCATCTGTCATCTTCAAGTATCTGAAAAGTTGTCATGTGGAAGAAGGACTATATTTGTATCTAGCATAGTGCCTAGCATACAATAGGTGCTTAATTAATGCTTGTTGATTGATATATTTTTGGGGGGGCGGGCGGAGAGCTGGCCTCAAAGGGCAGCTCTAGAAGGAATGAACAGAAAGTTGCTAAAAGGAAGATTCTGATTTGGCATGAGGAAAAAAAAAATCTCAACAATTAATGGACCCAAAATAGATTGGGGCTATCTTGGGAAATAACTTATCTACAAGAGTTATTCAAATAGATAATGGTTGAATATCTGTCAGAAATGTTGTAAACAAAGTTCCATCTTCAGTTTGTACTAGATGACCTTTTGATTTTGAGAAGTTATGAAACATAGGTTACTTAGCATAGATGCTATGATCTAATTTTGACATCACATTCTTCTAAGATATTGTAGGGTGATGTGAATTCTACAGGATCTGATAAAGAAGAGAGATTGCTCTCAATCTAATTGATGTCTCCTCCTAACACTACCCTCCCCCTCACACTTACCACAGCAGGGTCTGTGTGTAGATTAGCTCCAAAACATTCCTGGCAATATCAAACTCAGGCACACCAAGGCTTTTAATCAATTTAGTCCCAATGATTCTGTAAAATGACAAAGTTGAGAATCTATAGGAGTCCAAGAAGAAAAAAAAAAGATACCCAGCTATCTGTATAGGACCATCGCAATTAATTTGGAATAAAGGTGGAAAGTGCTGTGCAAATTAGTTAAACATGTATGATGGGGTGTGTGGAACATATATAATTTTGCTGTTTTCTCATGTTGGAGGCAACCGAGTGATACAGTATTGGATTTAAAAATCAAGAAGACCTGGTTTCAAATCCTGCCTCAGATATTTATTAGCTCTATGATATCAGCAGCTAGGTGGTGCAGTGGTTAGGAAGGCCTGAGTTCAAATCCTGCATCACACATATATTAGCTGTATGATCCTGGGCGAGTTATTTAACTTCTGTCTCAACTATAAAATGAGGACAACAATATCACCTACCTCCCAGGGTTATTGCGTGGACCAAATGAGAGAATATTTGTAAAGCACTTAGCACAGTGCTTGGCACATCGTAGGTGCTTAATAAATGTTTATTTGCTTCCTTCCTTTCCTGGAAAAGTCAATTACCTTCTCTGTGCCTCAGTTTCCTCATCTGTAAAATGAGGGAATTGGATTAGCTGGCCTCTGATGTCCCTCCAAGCTCTGCAGGTCTGATGCTAGGCTTATAATTATACACAGTGAGAGCGTGACATTATTTTAAGTAAATGACCTTCTAAATTGTTGAGGCGAAGTGCTAAATAAAATGTTTTTTAAAAAAGTTTGTTTTTCTGAGTTGGCTAAACTTTTTCCCTATTTACTTGATAAATCCTTCCTCCCACCTCCAAACTTTCAGCCCAACAACAGGACACTTTTTCTATAAATTCAGTTAGTGGCGTCAGGTTCAATAGAATTTTCCTACAGTGGGCATCTTAAAATTTGTCACCAACTCTCAAAAAAATCAGGATATAAAATTTGGCAAGAATCTGTACCTAAGAAGCTAGACAGATCTCTATCTTTTATATAATTAATAAATTTATTTATTATTTTTAGTTTTCAACAATCACTTCCATAAGATTTTGAGTTCTAAATTTTCTCCCCATCTCTTCCCCCCCTCCATCCCAAGACAGCAAGTAAATTGATATAGGCTCAATATATACATTCATATTAAAAATATTTTCACATTAGTCATGTCCTAAAGAAGAATTAGAATCAATGGGAGAAACCATGAGAAAGAAGAAAAAAAAAAGAGAGAGAGAAAGCAAATAATATGCTTCAATCTGCATTCAGACTCCATAGTTCTTTTTCTGGATGTGGATAGTATTTTCCATCATTAGTCTTTTGGAATTGTCTTAGATCCTTGCATTGTTAAGAGATAAGTCTATCAAAGTCAGTGATCACACAATGTGGCTGTTACTGTGTACAATGTTCTCCTGGTTCTACTCACTTCACTCAGCATCAGATAACTTTCAGATTTTTCTGAAGTCTGCCTGCTCATCATTTCTTACAGCACAATAGTATTCCATTACATTCGTATACCACAACTTGCTCAGCCATTCCCAGTTTCCAATTCTTTGTCACCACAAAAAGAGCTGCTATCAATATTTTTCTCCATGTGGGTCCTTTCCCCATTTTTATCTCTTTGGGATACAGACCTAGAAGTGGTATTGCTGGGTCAAAGGGTATGCACCATAGTTACAATTTGCTCTCTAGAATGGTTGGATCAGTTCACAACTCCACCAACGATGCATTAATGTTCCAATTTCCCCACATCTTCTCCAACATTTATCATTGTCCTGTTTTGTCACGTTAGCCAATCTGATAGGTGTGATGTGGTACCTCAGAGTTGTTTTGATTTGTATTTCTCTAATGAATAGTGATTTACAGCATTTTTTCATATGATTATAGATAGCTTTAATTTCTTCATCTGAAAACTGCCTGTCCATATCCTTTCACCATTTATCAATTGGGGAATGACTCATATTCTTATAAATTTGACTCACTTTTCTATATATTTTAGAAATGAGGCCTTTATCAGAGACACTGATTGTAAAAATTCTTTCCCAGCTTTCTGCTTCCGTTCTAATCTTGGAAAGTATAAAGTGCATAGTACAGAGGTACTATGAAAGAGACTGTTTTAAAAAAATAGGTCTTTGTCCTTCTCCAAGACCCTCAGAGCTTCATTAAAAAGGTATCTTGGTATAGGGTGTAAGATATTGGTCTATGCTAGTTTCTGCCATACTATTTTCCAGTTTTCCCAGCAGTTTTTGTTAAATAGTGAATTCTTATCCCATAAGCTGGAGTCTTTGGGTTTATCAAACAGTAGATTACTATAGTCATTGACTATTATGTCTTGTGTACCTAACTTATTCTACTGATCCACCACTCTATTTCTTAGCCAGTAGTACCAAGTAGTTTTGATGATTACTGCTTTATAATACAATTTAAAATCTGTTATAGCTAGGCCACCTTCCCTTGCATTTCTTTTCATTAATTCCCTTGATATTCTGGACCTTTTGTTCTTCCAGATGAATTTTGCTACTATTTTTCCTAGCTCTATAAAATAATTTTTGGTAGTTTGATTGGTATGGAACTGAATAAGTAAATTAATTTAGGTAGAATTGTCATTTTTATTATATTAGCTCAGACTACCCACAAGCAACTAATGTTTTTCCAATTATTTAGATCTGGTTTTATTTGTGTGAAAAGTATTTTGTAACTGTGTTCATATAATTCCTGAGTTTGTTTTGGCAGGTAGACTTCCAAATATTTTATAATGTCTACAGTAACTTTAAATGTAATTTCTCTTTCTATCTCTTGCTGTTGGGTTTTGTTAATAATATATAGAAATGCCGATGATCTATGTGGGTTTGTTTGATCTCTACCTTTTTAATGAAGCTCTGAGGGTCCTGGAGAAGGGCAAAGGCCTATTTTTTAAAAAAATCTCTTTCATAGTACCTCTGTACTATGCATTGTGTACTTTCCACATAATGAACATTTAATAAAAATTGTCAACAGAGACATTTTGTCTTACCTTTATATACATAATGGATCAATATGTAACACAGAGGTGAGTCTGGGTAGAACTGGGCAGAGAAAATAATGCCAGGACTATATATAATAGGTATATATATACATATATATATTCTTTACATGTATAACATATTACATATGTGTGTATAAAGAGTTATATTTAATGGATGAATATTTACAAAAATATAAAGTATCCAGATTAACAGAAGAGGAAATAAAATACTTAACCTCATTTCAAAAAAAGAAATTGAACAAGCCATCAATGAACTCCCTAAGAAAAAATCTCCAGGGTCAGATGGATTTACAAGTAAATTCTATCAAACATGTAAAGAACAATTAATTTCAACACTATATAAACTATTTGGGAAAATAGGTGAAGAAGGAGTCCTACCATTTCTTTTTATGATACAAATATGGTGCTGATACCTAAACTGGGAAGAACCAAAACAAAGAAAGAAAATTATAAACAAATTTCCCTAATAAATATGGATGCAAAAAATTTAAATAAAATATTAGCAAAGAAGTTATATCAACTTATCTCAAGGATAACACACTATAACCAGGTAGGATTTATGCCAGGAATGCAGAGTTTGTTCAATATTAGGAAAACTATCAGTATAATTGATCATATCAACAACAAAAGTAACAGAATCATATAATTATCTCAATAGATGCAGAAAAAGCTTTTGACAAAATATAACACCCATTCCTATTAAAAACATTAGTGAGCATAGGAATAAATGGAGTCTTCCTTAAAATGATAGATAGCATCTATCTAAAACCATTACCATATGCAATGAGGATAAGCGAGAATCATTCCCTGTAAGATCAGGAGTGAAACAAGGATGTCCATTATCAACACTACTATTCAATATTGTGCTAGAAATGTTAGCTTTAGCAATAAGACTAGAAAAAGAAATTGAAGGAATTAGAATAGGCAAAGAAGAAACAAAGCTATCACTGTGCAGATGATATGATGGTATACTTAGAAAATTCTAGAAAATCAACTAAAAATTACTTGAAAAACAAATTTAGCAAAGTTGCAGGATATAAAATAAATCTACATAAATCATCAGCATTTCTATATATTACTAACAAAGTCTAGCAGCAAGAGATAGAAAGAGAAATTATGTTTAAAGTTACTATAGACATTATAAAATGTTTGGGAGTCTACCTGCCGAAACAAACCCAGCAACTATATGAACACAATTACAAAACACTTTTCACACAAATAAAGTCAGATCTAAATAACTGGAAAAATATCAGTTGCCCATGAGCAGGCTGAGTTAATATGATAAAAATGACAATTCTACCTAAATTAATTTACTTATTTAGTGCCATACCAATCAAACTACCAAAAATTATTTTATAGAGGTAGGAAAAATAATAGCAAAATTCACCTGGAAGAACAAAAGGTCCAGAATATCAAGGCAATTAATGAAAAGAAATGCAAGGGAAGGTGACCTAGCTATAACAGATTTTAAATTGTATTATAAAGCAAAAATCATCAAAACTACTTGGTACTGGCTAAGAAAAAGAATGGTGGATCAATAGAATAGGTTAGGTACACAAGACACGGTAGTCAATGATTATAGTAACCTACTGTTTGACAAACCCAAAGACTCCAACTTCTGGGATAAGAACTCATTATTTGAGAAAAACTGCTGGGAAAACTGGAAAATAGTATGGAAGAAACTAAGCATACACCAACATCTCAAACTATATGCCAAAATAAAGTTAAAATGGGTACATGATTTAGATATAAAGTCTGATACTGTAAGCAAACTGGGAGAGCAAGGAATAGTTTGCCTGTCACACCTATGGAGAACAGAAGAATTTGTGACCAAACAAGAGATAGAGAACATTATGAAATGCAAAATGGATGATTTTGATTACATCAAATTGAAAAGTTTTTGCATAAACAAAGCCAATGCAACCAAGATTAGAAGGGAAGCAGAAAGCTGGGAAAGAATTTTTACAATCAGTGTCTCTGATAAAGGCCTCATTTCTAAAATATATAGAAAAGTGAGTCAAATTTATAAGAATATGAGTCATTCCCCAATTGATAAATGGTGAAAGGATATGGACAGGCAGTTTTCAGATGAAGAAATTAAAGCTATCTATAATCATATGAAAAAATGCTGTAAATCACTATTGATTAGAGAAATGCAAATCAAAACAATTCTGAGGTACCACATCACACCTATCAGATTGGCTAACATGACAAAATAGGAAAATGATAAATGTTGGAGAAGATATGGGAAAACTGGAACACTAATGCATTGCTGATGGAGTTGTAAACTGATCCAAACATTCTAGAGAGCAAATTGTAACTATGCCCAAAGGGCTATAAAACTGTGCATACCCTTTGACCCAGCAATACCACTTCTAGGTCTGTATCCCAAAGAGATCATATGAATAGGAAAAGAACCCACTTTAAGTCATTTCAGTGTTAAATAGGGTACAAAAATATTTGTAGCAGCTATTTTTGTGGTGGCAAAGAATTGGAAATTGAGGGGATGCCCATCAGTTGGGGAATGACTGAGCAAGTTGTGGTATATGAATGTGATGGAATACTATTGTGCTGTAAGAAATGATGAGCATGTGGACTTCAGAAAAGCCTAGAAAGACTTATATCAACTGATGCTTAGTGAAGTGAGCAGAATCAGGAGAACATTGTATACAGTAACAGCAACATTGTGTAATGACTAACTTTGATAGACTTAGATGTTCTCAGTAATGCAAAGATCTAAGACAACTCCAAAAGATGCATGATGGAATATGCTATCCATATCCATTGAAAGAACTATGGATCTGAATGCAGATCGAAGCATACATACTATTTGCTCTCTCTTTTGTTGTTGTTTTTTTTGTTTGTTTCTTCTTTCTTGTAGTTCCTCCCATTGGTTCTAATTCTTTTTTACAACATGACTAATGTGAAAGTATGTTTAATATGAACATATATGTAAAGCCTATATCAGATTGCAAATAGTCTTGGGGAGGGGGAGGGGAGAGAGAGGGAGAAATTTTAAAACTCAAAATCTTATGGAAGTGAATGCTGAAAATGAAAAACAAATTAATTAATAAAAAAAATAGGAAAAAAAAGAGTTATACCTTCCTATCTTATTCTATCAAAAGAACCCAAATTAATATCCTTTGAAAATGGATGTGTTAATTTTAGCCCTATTACAAAGTTGAGATCACCACTTTACATTTGAAGAATCATTTCAAAGACCTTTCCTTATCTATAATCTTATTTGAGCCTCATGCCAAACCTATAAAGCAAGCAAGTTGGCACTATTATTTCCCATCAAGCCTAGAACTAAAATCTGATCTCCTGACTGCAAGACCAGGGCTGCTTTTTTCCTCACAGTTTCACATTCTAGACTGAGATATTATTCTTCTTTATCATAAGCAGATGGACAAATGACCTTTTATGATCTCTTTCAGATATAAAATAATTCCAAATCTGACCTCCTGAGGTTGTCTTGGCCAGAGGTAGCAAACACTTGGGGCAACACTGCTGAGTTGGGTGGAACCAGATTAAAATGTAAATGAGAAATATTTAACAAAATAAATAAAAATGCAATGTAGATAAGGTTTATAGGTGGTTTTCTAAGTTAATATGTGGCCTGCAGGGATCCTTATGTTAATGGCCCCCATTTCTCTTTGAGTTTGATTCCATTGGTCTAGGCCAGTCCTTTACTGTAAGCTTTATATCTTCTCTAGCTATACAGGATGTCTAGGAAGGGAGACAGTTCTTAATCTCCAAACTATAAACCTATTTGATAAATGGAAGCAGAGCATTGATTCTGGTTTCAAATCCCATCCATGATGCTTACAAATTGTGTGACGTTGGGTAAGTCAATTTTCCTTCTGGGGTAAATCAGTTTCCCCATCAATAAAATAAAAGGGTTAGACTAGAAGGCTTCTGAGGTCACTGCCAGCCTTAGATCTATGATCCTGTCAACTCCATGATTGATAGAAACCAGAATATCTAACAACTAGGCTCTCTTGGGGGGAAAAATGCGCATACAGTTTTAAATGTGATCTACATTTTCAATACTTTCTTAAGTCTAGATGATCAACAAAACAATAAATCAAGCCCTGATTTGTAGCAATTGCTGATTTCTGAGGTGTAAATCTTCACATTGAAAATATAACAATTGAATCTGAAAGTCAGTTAGAGCTGGTCCAAGCATACCAACGATTGTAACAAACTTCCTGTGGTGATGCATTTATAGCAGCAGGGTGATGAAATAGATTAAGTAGGAACAAATAAGTAAATGTATTTAACTAACAAGGGAAGGAGAAAAAACAGAAGGGAAATGTAAAGATTTCAAACAGTGTGTGCTTTTAGGAGTGTAAGGAAGCATTTTCTTCCTGATTCATTTCTGTACAAAAGGTTTCTATTTCCACCCCCCATTTCCAACAAGACAAACAGATTTACCTTCTCAAAAACTCCCCAAAAATGGAGTCAAATAAAGTAAACAAAAAATTCATCATGAGGAGTCGGTAGATATCCTGGCCAATAAGTGTTTCCCAGCACTAAAAAGCAAACAAAGAGTCAATGTGTTCAGTAATGTTCTTCCAAATTTCCCTTTTCTGACATAAATGGAAATCACTAATTCACAGCCTCATAGTACCCCAATCTTCAGGAAAATTGAGGAGAAAGCAAAGTTTGTCTTCAGTGGAAAAGAGTGTCTTCCACTCTTTTCTGGTCTTTCTTCTTTCCAATATTCCATGTACCATCCTTCCCCAACCCAGGCCTGCCCTCCTCAGCAGCACCTCATGCTCCAAAATTATTGCTGTTCTCCTCTGCCCCTAACATACATACCTTACCTATTTTATGTACTATCAATCCCATTTGGGCCTTGCTTTCTGTAACTAAATGAAACTAAGGAATACAGATAAAAGCTCCCAGATATGACATACATTTTTGACATGAGGACTTTGTTACGTCAACTCAGAGAAGGTGAGAATTTCAGGAAGGTCTTTCCAGGGTGCTTCCATCAATACCTTCCCTACCTGCCTTCTATATCTATCCTTAATGCCTTCCAGGAAATGAAGGCTTCTCTTCTTTCAGGACAATATGACAACAAATACAACCTATACACCCAGAAAAGTAGTCTCTTTTGCAACAGTCACCTTGTCATACCATGTACTTATTCCATTGTTCAAAATACACCAGGAACAAGGGACCATCTTAGGACCTGTCCTGAGAATCTGTGGCATGTTTTTTTGAAGAATCTTCAATTTTGGCAAATCTGTGTCTTTTGAGGTTGTATTAACTATTTTCTTATTAATTAATTTATTTTTAGTTTTCAACATTCACTTCCATAAGATTTTGAGTTCCAAATTTTCTCCCCATCTCTCCCCTCCCTCTACCTCAAGGAGGCCTGTATTCAGAATATCACTTCCCCCAATCTGCCCTTCCTTCTATCACCTACCTCCTTCTCTTATCCCCTTTGCTTTCTATTTTCCTATAAGGCAGAATAGATTTCTATACTCCATTGCCTGTATATCTTATTTCCCAGTTGCATGTAAAAACAATTTTTAACATTCATTTTTAAAATTTTGAGTTCCAAATTCTCTCTCTTCCTCCCTCCAGACCTACTCTTACTGAGAAGGCAAGCAATTCGATATAGGTTATACATGCACTTCCATAACAGTCATGTTATGAAAGACTAACTATATTTTCCTCCATCCTATCCTGTCCCCCCCACCTTTATTCTATTCCGTCCTTTGACCCTGTCAAAATGTTTTCTTCTGACTACTCCCTTCCCAATCTTCCCCTCTTCTGTCTTCTACCCCTCTCTTATCCCCTTCCCCCTTATTTTCCTGTAGGCAAGATAGATTTCCATACCCAATTAAGTGTGTTTGTTATTCCCTCCTTGAGCCAAATCTAATGAGTAAGATTCTCTCATTCTTTTTCACCTACCCCCTCTTCCTTCCACTGTAAAAGCTTTTTCTTGTCTCTTTTATGTGAGATAATTTACCCCATTCTACCTCTCCCTTTCTCCTTCTCCCAGTACAATCCTTTTTCACCCCTTAATTTTATTTTTTCGATATCATCCCTTCTTATTCAACTCACCCTGTGCCCTCTGTCTATATATATTCCCTCCAACTACCCTAATAGTGAGAAAGGCCTCATGAGTTACAAATATCATCTTTCCATGTAGGAATGTAAACAGTTCAACTTTAATAAGTCCGTTATAATTTCTCTTTCCTGTTTACCTTTTCATGCTTATCTTGAGTCTTGTATTTCAAAGTCAGATTCTCTATTCAACTCTGTTCTTTTCATCAAGAATGCTTGAAAGTCCTCTATTTCATTGAATATCATTTTTTCCCCTGAAGGATTATATTCAGTTTTGCTAGGTAGGTGATTCTTGGTTTTAATCTTAGCTCCTTTGACCTCTGGAATATCATATTCCAAGTCCTCTGATCTCTCTGATCTCTTAATGTAGAAGCTACTAAATCTTGTGTTATCCTAATTGTGTTTTCACAATACTTGAATTGTTTCTTTCTGGCTGCTTGCAATACTTTCTCCTTGACCTGGGAGCTCTGGAATTTGGCTATAATATTCCTGGAAGTTTTCATTTTGGGATCTCTGTCAGGAGGTGGTCAGTGAAGTCTTTCCATTGCTATTTTACCCTCTGGTTCAAGAATATTAGGGTGATTTTCCTTGATAATTTCTTGAAAGATGATGCCTACATTCTTTTTTTGATCATGGCTTTCAGGTAGTCCAAACATTTTTAAATTATGTCTCCTGCATCTATTTTCCAGGTCAGTCATTTTTCCATTGAAATACTTCACATTGTCTTCTATTTTTTCATTCTTTTGGTTTTGTTTTATAATTTCTTGGTTTCTCATAGAGTCATTAGCTTCCATTTGCTCCATTCTAATTTTTAAGGAATTATTTTCTTCAGTGAACTTTTGGACCTCCTTTTCCATTTGACCAATTCTGCTTTTTAAGGGATTTTTCTCCTCATTGACTTTTTGGACCTCTTTTGCCATTTGGATTAGTCTATTTTTTAAGGTGTTATTGTGTTCAATATTTTGTTGGGTCTCCTTTAGCAATTTGTTGACTTGTTTTTCATTATTTTCTTGCATCACTCTCATTTGTCTTCCCAGTTTTTCCTCTGCTTCTCTTACATGCTTTTCAAAATCCTTTTTGAGCTCTTCCATGGCCTGAGACCAATTCATATTTTTCTTGGAGGCTTTGGATATAGGAGCTTTGACTTTGTTGTCTTCTGGTTGCATGCTTTGATCTTCTTTGTCACCAAAATAAAATTCTATAGTCTGAGTTTTTTCTGCTGTTAGCTCATATTCTCAGTCAATTACTTGACTTTTTTTGGGGGGGAGGGGCTAGGTAATGGGGTTAAGTGACTTGCCCAGGGTCACACAGCTAGTAAGTGTCAAGTGTCTGAAGCTGGATTTGAACTCAGGTCCTCCTGACTCCAGGGCTGGTGCTCTATCCACTGCTCCACCCAGCTGCCCCCAACCCTACTTGACTTTTTAACTCTTTGTTAAGGTAGTGCTCTTCTTCCAGTGTGGAGGGTGTACTGTCCCAAGCTTCAAGGGTTTTGTGTAGCTCTTTTGAAAGATACTTCTAGGGACCTGTAAATTTTCATTTTTTTCAAGGTGGTATGATCCAAGGAGAGGTGTTTACTCCTTTCCTGGCCTGTCCTCTGGTCTATGAGTGACCACAAGCACTTTTTTCTGCCTTGAAACTGTGAGGAGGATTCCTTCTCCACCACTGCCACAAGTTCATTGCTCCTTCTTGCCCCAGGACCGCCACCCAGGACTGGGACCCAGATCCAAGCATGGGCAAAGAAAGAGAATCCTGCCTCAGCACCAGCAAAGAGATCCCTGCAATCCCTCTCTGGTTAGCCACTCGATTCCCCCACTGTCTGTGGGTTAAGAGCTCTGGAAGCAACCTCTGCCACTCTGGCCACTGGCCTGGGGTTGCAGTAGGGCCAAGACTGGACTGTGGTCCTCTCTCACCCAGGTCTGACAGATTTTTCCTACTGACCTTCTAAGTTGTCTTTGGTGTTTGTGGGTTGAGAAGTCTGGAAACCACCACCGTTGCCCATGATTCAGTCCCTTGAGGCCTGCTCCAGGTTCACTGGCACCCTGTCTTTGCCTGCACAAAGACAGGGCTGAACTGTGCTCCTCTCCCAGCCTGGTGCAACAGACCTTTCTGATCAACCAACCAGGTTGTCTTGGGCTAGAAATTTGTTTCAATCTGTTTTTTTGTGGGTTCTGTTGCTCTAGAATTTGTTTGGAGTCATTTTTTTACAGATATTTGGAGGGGTTTGGGGAAAGCTCAAGTAAGTTTTTACTCCACCGTCTTGACTCTGCCACCCAGCTATTTTTTTTTTAACAACCAAAAGCTATCAGAAGCTAAATCTGGTAGATGCTCTAGAACAGAGGCAAAAATTCATGTATAGTTTACTACAGCAACAAATACAGCAGTCTAGCCCTATAAGACTAACATTCTTCTGACCTACATAATTTGCATTTAGTCAGAGTTTGCCCCAAGGCAAATTTTGGTTTGTACGTAAAGCCAACTCTCTCACTTCCCTGTGATTTCAGTGCCTTCCTGTATCCAACCCCCTTGTTGGCCTAAGTACTTTCAGATTCAGCTTGACTCAGGACTGTCTTCTCAGATAACTGTCATTCTACCCCCTTCCAAACCTTTTTCCTCTGATCCCACTCTGCCGCAATCCTTGGGCATTAGTCTATGTTAATGAAATAGATCTCCTACTAAGACTCGTAAAAGAGTCCTAGAAGCAGTTCCAACCAAGAAGTTCTAAGGACTTTTTTGAGTATGGCAGTTTTGCTGATGTAAGCATATAGCCTATCTATCTATCTATCTATCTATCTATCTATCTATCTATCTATCTATCTATCTGTCTGTCTGTCTATTTCTATCTATCTACCTATCTGTAAATATATAAAGTATAGATATCATATATGTGTCTACTTTGAAGGGAACAGCTCTCATTTGGATATATAAGTCCTAATGTGTTCGTTTAAAAACAAACATTCTGTCATTCATTTATAGTCATCTCATATTTTGAGATGAGGAGGAAGATAGAGGGAGAAAACACTTGAGAAACTAGTTTCAATGACACAGTTCAGTACAGGGTGCTCCAAAATGGCTTGGGGTAGATTATCTACTTTGTAAAATTATACAAGTCCCTGAGCTCACTTTCTTCCCCGAGATGGGCCAAAATACCTGGTTCAATAATACCTCCTCCAGAAGAAGGGAAATGAAAGATGAAACTCCAATCAATTGTAAGTAGCTCTGGGGTAAGGTGTGGAAAGAATATTGATCAAATAGTTAAGTGGTTAAAATTAATTTAGGAGATTATGAGTAAATTATTTATGCTGTTTTTAGCTTAAGTTAGAGTAGATTATTGAAAATTTGTGGCAATCCAATGAGAAAAGTCTAAACAAGAATATTTCCTTGAGTTGACTTGGAATGAGGAAGATTAGATGAAAGATGAGAAACAGAGTTCTCTGCAATGGGATGACCATCTTATCAGGGCTATTGGTTAAGGCAACTCATTTTCTTTCTAGAACTGTGCTGACCTCCTGCCACATTCTGAATTTTTTGTTCCCTTCCCTGATAATGTTACATTTGCTTCTACAAATTCATTGTCAGAAGGAAGACTAAGAAATATAACTGCACACACTCTCTCTCTACTCCTCTTCCCTTCCTGACTTTCCAGGCTTCCTTCTCAACTAAAGTCCCACATCCTACAAGAAATCTTTCTCTATGCCTTCATTCCCTTTCAGGTGATCTCTAATTTATTCTGCGTATAACTAGTTTCTACATAGTTCTTTACATGTTATCTCCCCCATTAGACTGTGAGCTCCTTGAGAGCAGGGACTCTTTTTGCCTTTTTTAGTATTCTCCTCTCTTAGCACAGTGCCTGCCACCTAGTAGGTGCTTAATAAATGCTTGTTGATTTATGTAACTGCTGAGAGGCTCATTCTCTGCCTAGTCATCAAAGGCTTAAGAACAAGACACAAAATCAGTCAAGAGAGTCTGAAATCTCACCTCTTCATGTGACACTGCTATAGAGTTGAGCCAATAATAACAAAGAATCCCAATGATGGATATTTTCAGAAAGATATTCCTAAATGATAAAAAAGAAAGCAATCATTTTACCCCTATAGAAACATGCTCTTTCACCACTTTCTACACCTGTCAGAGGTGGGTCCAATACTCTAACAGTTTATTGATCTCACTGTTCCCTCTAATTAGAGGTATTCCCTCTAATCATAAAGTTCACTTACCTCTTCGCACATAGTACATGCTTAAACAATGTTGTTTGACTATCAGCCTTAAACACATAGGGCTCTTTCAACAAATAGATAAATTGAGGGCAGCTAAGTGGCACAGTGGATAGAGCACCAGCCTTGGAGTCAGGAGGACCTGAATTCAAATCTGACCTCAGACACCTGACATTTACTAGCTGTGTGACCCCGAGCAAGTCACTTAACCCCATTGCCGAGCCAAAAAAAGAAAAAATAGATAAATTATAAATGTGTAGGGTGACATGTACAATCAATCACAATAACTCTTTTGTGTTCTCTGGCTTAACTATTTTTTAGAAACATTTTGTTTTGGGTTTGTTTGTGTGTTGATATTTGTCTGCTGTGTTAAAATAAAACTTACCAATAAAAATTTGTCAAATCTTAAAAAAAAAAGGAGAGTTCTCAGAACTTTGGAAAAAAAGGCACCTTTCGAATTATTTTTGACCTGAGGAAGCCATTGAAGTAAAATATTAAAGTAAAGTGAAGGAACTAAACCCTTGGGTCATATCCATGATTTCATGTAAGTACTCAGGGTCTGAATGCTCCATTCTCCCACAGTTCTAAGAGGACAATGGCCATTGTATTGTACCAATGACCTAAAGTAGAGATGTTAGGAAGTCAGTACTGACAGACTGGCCAGTTCCTAGTTCCTCTGCCCTTGGAGAGATCAAAGGGACAAGTAATCTGGGTCTTATGGGTGAGAAAGAAAGACCACACAATCTGAAAACCACTATCAGTGAATGAAAGGCAGCAAGCAATTCAACCTCTCAGCATCTTGGGCAAAATTCTAAGACTGTATAAGTTGCTGAGCAGTTGTTGGTCCTTATTGATAGTAGGAATTTCTTTATTAAAAATTCCTTATATCATAAAAATCACAGGTCCAGTAAAAAAAAAAAGACGGAACAATTGTGAAACTTCAATGGGTAGGAAGAAAGAAGAACAATCCTAGGACTTCTCAATTCCCACCTTGGTTGTTCAGTCATTTTTAAGTCATGACTGACTCTCCACGGCCACATTTGGGGTTTTCTTGGCAAAGATACTGGAGTAGTTTGCCATTTCCTTCTCCAGCTCATTTTACAGATGAGGAAACTGAGGCAAATGGGGTTAAGGGACTTGCCCAGGGTCACACAGCTAGTAAATGCCTGAGGCCACATTTGAACTCAAGATGAATCTTCCTGACTCCAGGCTGGGCATTTTATCCGCTGTACTAAATAGCTGCCTCTAATCATCGGTTCCTAAAAGGCTGTGATCTAGATGAGGCCTGCTCTATCAATATGTTTCAAGGCAAATCAATTCCAGCATACCTATAGCTAAATTATAATAGTAATAGTTCATCAGGGTCTCTCCATTCCCCCATTCTTTCATTCCCCAGCAAACTCTTCATTTTCTATTAGGAAGAAAAGGAAACAAGTACTTATTAGGCACTTATTATGTGCCAAACACTAAATGCTTTACAAATATTGTCATTTGACCCTCGAAACTCTGGCAGGTAGGTGATATTATGATCACTATTTTACAGTTGAGGAAGCTGAGGCAGACAGAGGTTAAGTGACTACTTATCCAGCACAGCTAAATATCTGAGTTTGTATTTGAACTCAGGTCTCCTTGATTCCAGGCCCAGCACTTCATCCACTTCATATCTAGCTGCCTCATTTAGAGATTTGAGTCAGGTGGTTAGGTAGTTAACTTAAGAGGTGTTGTCTTTTGTACTGAAGGGGAGGGCAAATATCTCTATAGCCTAAGGAATCTAGAGACTTATTCTAGAAAAATGGGGTGGGAGCTGGGTTCATCATTGTTTACCAAGGCTCCCTTCTCCATCCTTCAAGAAAAGCAAGATCATAGTGGATGACAGGCCTGAGATCACCACCTAGTCCTTCCCTCCACCGCAGCTCAATGTAAGCAGCATCTTTAAGCAGAAAGATAGGAAGTTGTGACATACCTGATAATGATAACTAAGACCTGATGTCGAGGAATTTCAAACTTCTCCACCAATCCAAAGGAGGAGTAAAATAGTGGTACAAAGAGATTGAAGCAACACACCAGGAAAGGTAGCAATAAAGTGGCCGCCTGGTTTTTGTGTTCTCTCAGAAACTGTGGCCAGAGAAGAAGGAAGAAAATCAAGAAATGGATCATTATTCAGAGGTTCAGTCAGTTGAGTTTTATCATGGCAGAGCAACAAGAAAAAGCAGCCTAGTCAATCTATACTACACCTTCCTTACCACTCTAGTCATTGATCTAGGGTAAGAAAGCCCCCTAGAAGCTAAATCCTAGGAAATGCTAGCATTTATACAACTGTTTAAAGTTCACAATGCACTTATCTTTTTTTTTTTTTTTTTGCTTTTGGTGAGGCAATTGGGGTTAAGTGACTTGCCCAGGTCACACAGCTAACAAGCGTCAAGTATCTGAAGCCAGATTTGAACTCAGATTCTCCTGACTCCAAGGCCAGAGCTCTATCCATCATGCCACCTAGCTTCCCCATGCTTAATTTATCTTATTTGATCTTCACAACCTTATGAGGTAAGAACTATAAATATCCTCAGTTTTAAAGAAGAGGAAATGGAGGCAAGCCATTAGACTCACCTCCTTCTTCCCACATCAGAGCTTTAGGGGAAGTATGTGGAGAAGAAAGCAGGAATCAGGATGAGGAAACTGGAGCCTGGAAAAGATGCCCCAGGCCCTAGAGGGCTCTAGATCATCACTGTGAAAGGGCTGCTGGGGTAGCCCATCTAAGGGGTGCCCAGACATACCTTAGACACACACCTATAATAATACCTGTAGCAGTGATTAATGAGTCATACCTATAGGCCTGGTTGTTGTTGTTTGTCCTTCATTTCAAAGAGGACCAATGACATCATGAGTGATATCTTGACTTGACTAGCACATGAATTGGATTTAAGTGAGGCAGAGTTGCACAAAGTCTGCAGCCTCACTCTATTTTCCTGAGTTATCCAATCCAGTGGCAGGACAACAGTCAAGATGATGGATACAGCAGATGAACTTGGAGTTTTCTTGGCAGAGATACTGCAGTGGTTTGCCATTTCCTTCTCCAGCTAATTTTACAGGTGAGGAAACTGAGGCAAACAGGGTTAGATGGCTTGCTCAGGATCACACAGCTAGACTATATTTGAGGCTAGATTTGAACTCATGAAAAGGAGTCTCTCTAGTTCTAGGCTCAGTACTCTATCCACTGTGCCACCTGTTATACTTTTAGGGAGTACTAATTATTAAATTCTTCCTGACATCAAACCAAAATGTACCTCTCTGTAACCACCACCTATTGTTCATATTTCTGCCTTCAGGGAACCATGAAGTTCTAGAGCTAGAAGGAAACTTAGAGTTTAAGTCGTCTCCTCAAATGAGCAGAACCAGGAGAACATTGTACACAGTAACAGTAATAATGTGTGATGACCAACTGAGAATGACTTAGCTATTCTCAACAACACAATGATGTAAGATAATTCTGAAGGACTCATGATAAAAAATGCTATCCACCTCCAGAGACGGTGTATGAATGCAGGTCAAAGCATACTTTAAAATTTTTCTCTATTATCCTTTTTTTGGTCTGTATTTTCTTTTGCAACATGGCTAATATGGAAATGTTTTGCATGACTACACATGTACAATTTATATTAAATTGTTTGCCTTCTCAAGGAAGGGGAAGGAGGAAGGGTAGGAGAGAATTTGGAACTCAAAATTTTAAAAAATGTTAAAAATTTTTTGTTTACATGTACTTTAAAAGAAATAAAATAATATAAAAATTTTAAAGTTCCATCTCATTTGATAGATTTTGTAGGGCAAGTCATTTAACCTCTGTTTGCCTTAATCCACTAGAGAAGGAAATGGCAAACCATTCCAGTATCTTTGCCAAGAAAACTCTGCGGACGGCTTTAGCGTCCATGGGGTCAAGAAGAGTTGGACAGGACTGAATGGCTGAACAACGACTTCCTGACTCCCAGTCCTGAACCTTGTCCACCAAACCAGTAGTTCTTGAATTTTCCCATAATGGTTGAACTCTTCAGTTTAAACGAAACTTTGGCAGAACCTTTGTGGTAAAAATCCTCTAAAATTATTATTTTAATGCCTATTAACAAACAATATAAGATTCATTTTAAAAAAAATAACAGGGTGTTTCAGGGTTCCTTTCAGCACCATTTGAGAAACGCTGCACTAAAGTAGCTGGGAAATCACGAATAGTATCAGAGGGGAGCAGCGAATGGGTTTGCCTTACTTACACACACATACCCATAAAATCAAAGATTCTCAGGGTCATAGGATATTACAAATAGAAAAGAAAGGACTTTGGCGATCATCTAGCTCAACCCCTTATTTTTACAGAGAAAGAAACTGAGGCCAAAAAGTTGCTTGAAGTAACATAGCTATTTAGCAGCAAAACAAGACTAGAAGTCACATCTCCTGATTTAATTTTCAATTCAATTCACAAGTACATTCTTGGTATAAAGCACTATGTTCTTTCATGCTGTCTATTTGTTTTCAAGAAAACATTCTATCCAGCAGCAAAAATATAGAGGCTGCTAATTGGTGCAGTGGATAGAGTCCTGGGTCTGGAGTTAGGAAGACCTGAGTTCAAATCCAGCCTCAGACACTTACTTTCTATGCAATACTGGGTAAATCACAATTTCTATCTGCCTCAGTTTCCTTATCTATAAAATGGGAATCATGATAGCACCTACTTCCCATGGTTGTTGCGAGAAGCAAATGAGATAATATTTATAATAATAAAGTGCTTAGTACAGTGCCTGACACATAGTAGGCACTATATAAATGCTTGTTCCCCTCCCTTCCCCACTCTTTAAATATACTAGTGACTCTTAGCAGTGGCCAGAGCTAACAATAGGATTGACAAGTTTCTCCTCTCCTTTCCTGACACCCTCACCCTTTCCAGAGGATACCATTACAAAACATGTTTTCTTTCAGCCCCATTAAAGAACACTTTTGGCTCTTCAGTCAACACCTTCCTGCAATTTCTATGCTGAACAGGGAGTGAGCAAATAGATCCTGTTTCAAGCCTTATCTTTTAAATAGCTTCAGGGTGTTGCCTGAATGAATTCATTGTTAAAGTGACCTCTGCCATGGCTGGCTGATAGATGGCTGGTTGTATAAAGCACGTACCTAGGGGAATGGAGCTCCTGTGGTCATCTTTTGGGTCTTGAGAATTGGTAATGAATTACACCTGGGATTACTTGAGTAGAAGGGTTTTGCATTGTACCTGTTGCTTTTCTATGTAGAATATAAACTCCTTAAGGGCAGACGGTTTCAGTTTTTTGCATCTGTAATATCATCACCTAGCACTGTGCCTGGCATATGTGCTTTAATAAATGCTTATTAATTGATGGTGAGTGGGTTAATAACCCATCTGAACTCATTCATCAATGATTAAAGAAATCCCACTCAGTCATACCCTCCCCTTCCCAGTGATACCTTGTCTTTATTCAAATTTTGCTCTCCATCTCCCATTCCTATTCCTCACAACCCAACCTTGAAAATATCCCACTCTAAAGCTAAACATCCCTTCCACTGTGTTCTTTGGGACACTTGCTCTGTAGGTAGCAAATTTGCTTTCATCTTCAATCTCCTTCTTTCCTACTCTTTTCATCTTCTGCCTCTCACTGAGACCTGGGCTCTTTTTGATGACACAGCTTCCCTGGCCGCCCTTTCCAGCGATGGGTTGCATTTTCATTAATTCTCTCACTCACTGGTCAAGGTAGAAGAGTTGAAATTTGCCTTGTTCCCCAATGCCACTTCCATGCTCTTCCTCTACCCTCCGTCATCCAGTAACCACTTCTACTACCCAATCAAAATCCTGGTAACCATTATCTACTGACCTCCAATACTCCCCTTCTTTTGTCAATGAGTTCAGTTCCTTGCTCACAGTTTTTCTCTCCTCCCCAACTCCTGTTCTCATACTAGGGATTTCAACATACATAGGGAGGCTCCCTCAAACCTCTAACCTACCAGTTCTTCAACTTGTTAACACCTCCATACCACTACAGAGATGGCCTTACCCTTGATCTTGACACTACCCTCAAATGCTCCACTTCCATGTTTATGAATTCCAAAATTCTATTAACTAGTCCAGTCTATCATCATTCCACCTCTCCTTCTGCTTTACAATGTTAAATCCTGTTCTTTTTCTTCACCATGACTTTGAATCCCCTTGAACCCTTAGTTCTTTTCCAGGCTATCACCACTACATTGGCTATGCTCTCCTCCTCTTCCTCATCTTAGTGAGCCACTTCTACTCTATACCATCCTTTCCTTTCAAATCCCTCATCCTCTTATCCTATCAAAGATCTTTCTCTGCCAAGCCTCAGTCCTGGATTACCCCTATTATGCTGCCTTTGCTCTCTATGTGCTGCTAATTGAAGCTGAGAAAATCACAAAATCATGCTGACTGGCTCCACTGCAAATTTATGCTACATAATCTCGACTTGGCCTTTACCAGGCAAGGCAATCCTTTAACACCTCTTTAACTGATTAACCCACTCTCCACAGCTGCTCTTCCAAAAAATTTTTAACTCTCCTCCAATCTCCCCTAGCTCCCCCTCCTCCTCACCTCTCAGTTGAGAACCTTGCCTCATACTTCATTAAAAATTTTGAAACCATTTACTATGAGTTCTCTCTTCTCTTCTCTTCAGCTCATATCAGACAGATGCCTTTTGCCATTATCTCCTCATTCACGTTTGTCTCACAACAGAAGGTGGTATTTCTCCTTTTCAAGGCAAACTCCTCCACAAATACAAGTGATCCCATTGTACCCCAAATTTTCCCACAGACAGTCCCCTCTGTGAGCCCCACTCTTACACTTATCTTCAATCTCTCATTGTCTACTGACCGCTTTCCTATTGCCTATATATATCCCTGTCTCAAAAACACTCACTGGATCCATAGATCATGAGATATCATCCCATATCTCTCTTCCCTTTCATGGCTAAACTCCTTGAGAAGGCTATCTACAATAGGTGCCTCCCAGGTACCATCTGTTACTCTCTTCAGGCTGGCAAATTTATCGTTCAACTAAATTATCTCTCCAAAGTTACAAATGATCTCTAAATTACCATATCTAATGATCTTTTCTCAATCTTCATTCTTCTTGACCTCTCTTCAGCCTTTGACATGGTAAATCACTTTTTTCAAGCTATTCTCTTCTCTCTAGGTTTTCATGACACTACTCTCTCCTGGTTCTCTTTCTATCTATTTGACCACTTCTTCTCAGTCTCCTTTAGTGGATCTTCATCAAAGGCAAACCCACTAATGCTGGTGTCCTCCAGGACTCTGTCCTAGGCTCTCTTCTCTATCTATGCTATTTCACTTGGTGATCTCATCAGGTCATGGTTTCAATTATCATTTTTTTGCTGATAATTCTCAAATCTGCTTATCTAACCCTAACCTTTCTACTGACCTCCCATCTTGCATCTCCAATTGCCTATTAGATATCTCAAAGTGGATCTTAAATTTAAAATATCCAGAGCTGAACTCATTATCTTTCCCATCAAACCCTCCCCTCTTCTTCACTTTTCTATTACTGTTAAGTAATTACTTTTAATAAATTACTTTGAAACTAATTGCTTTTAGTCTCCTAAGCTCACAACCTAGGTGTAATTCTCAATTCCTCACCATCTTTCATCCTCCATATCCAACTTTTTGCCAAGGCTGTCAATTTTATCTTTGAACATCTCCTACATATACCCCCTTCTCTCCTCTGACACTACCACCATGTTAGTGTAAGCTCTCATCACCTCATGTCTGCACTATTGCCTGCTAGTGGGCCTGCCTGCTTCAAGTCTCTTCTCACTCCAGTCCACCTGTCCTCAGCTGCCAAAGAGATCTTCCTAAAGTGTTGGTATGACTATTTCACCACCCTACTTCAGTATTTCCCTATTATTTCCAGAATCAACTATAAAACCCTCCATTTGGTGTTCAAAGCCCTTCATAACCTAGCCTTCTCCTACCTTTCCAGTTTTCTTAGACTTTATTGGGGGGGGTGTGTAAAGTAAAATGAGATACTCCATCCCCCAGCTCTGGGCATTTTCTTTTCTATTCTTTTTTTCTGGGAATTTTCTCTGGCTGTCCCCATGCTTGGAACGCTCTCCCTCCTAATCTCCACCTCCTGGCTTCCTTGGTCTCCTACAAATCCCAACTAAAATCTTACCTTCTACAGGAGCCTTTTCTATTTTCCCTTAATGCCAGTGCCTTCCCTGTTTTGCTTAGAAAGAAGGAAATGAGAATTCTATAAAACTTTTTTCTCTGTAACCACAGGCCTTTGTTTATCACCTGGAATGGAGGCAGCCCCAAGAACCTGGGGATTTATCAGCTTTTTCTTCTTCAGAAGTACACGGGTGGGGAAAGTCTTTGTTAATAATAATAATCCTTTGCATTGTGAGTGTTTTATACTTTTCACCATGTGTTCACATCCCCTAAAGACCACAGGTCTTTTCTATATGACTCTCTGCTGAAACCCCCTATATATCAGGTCTCCTTAAGAACAGGGTATGTGTATCTTACTTTTCTATTTGTAGCCCCAATACTTAGTGGAGTGATTGGTATACAGAAAGCACTTAATAAATGCTTTTTCATTCATCCATTCATTCTCTCTCTCTCTCCTATTGGATTCACAACAGCTCTGTGAATTTGGTAGGGCAGGTACTTATTATTAATCCCAACTGGTTGGTATTTTTGAGACTGGGTCTGCCTATCTCACCCAGGCTGGAAATGAAGCAGGCACCCACTGATCTACCCTACTGCTGATCTAAATGGGAGCTTTGACCCCTCCTTAGGCAGTCAGATACCCTTCCCCCCTCCACTCAAAGGCCCACCACATTGGTGCTGGGGCTAGTATAGACACTACACTAATTGGTTTAGCTCATTGCAGCTCAGAACTCCTGAGCTGATGCAATCTTCCATTTTCAGGCCCACCATAAGCAGGGATTACAAGTGTGTGCCACTGTTCTTAGCTTTATTATCCTCATTTTACAAGCCAGGAAATTGAAACATAAAGAAATTAAGAGACTTATAAAGCTCACTTAGCTAGCTAGAGACAGCCAGGATTAGAACCGGAATGGCCTCATCCCTAGCCTGGTACTCTTCCCTGTGTCTTGTGTTGTCTTTTCCCCCTCTCAGGAATTACCTTCATGTTATTAAAAGCCAGGAAATAAACAGCCGCACAGCAGGCAATAGCCACCCCTGTGGAAACTATCCAGGCTGCCAGGTGGATGCAAAAACGAGATAATCTCTGCTTGAGAGGTGTAATCACATTCTCATGCCGGATTTCTGACAGATTCTCCTGCAACCAGAAGGAATTTTCAGGTGATCCATTAATACTCCTATCATGTTAGCAACAAACAACGCACCCCCCAACCCCAGCCTTCCCAAGAGACAAGTCATCCCCACATCCAGAGGCAGGACAAGTGGGAACAGTTTTCTGGAAACCAAATAAGATAAGGGGAGCAAAAGAGTCAGATGTTGTGCCCAGAGAATAAAGAAAGATTGGGAAGGGAATGATTAAATTACATAGCAGGACAGAAGGGGAGAAAAAGAAAAAAAAATGAATGATTACTTTAAAAAAACTTTTAAAAACTTTAAAGTAACATTTTAAAAAATCAATCTGTCCCTTGCAATCCCCCCACATACATTAATTTTTAAAAATTTTTTAATATATTTCTACATAGTCTGAGAAAACAAATTCCCACATAAGCATGTTTGAAAATATATGCAAAAATAAATGAAAAGGATATTTGGGATAACTATGGTGATAGAAGAAACAAAAAATATCAATACAAACCTATAAAAATTAAAAAGCATTTATGAAGCTTGTATGTACTGTGCTAAGTGCTAGGGTTGCAAACAGAAAAAACAAGACATACTCCCTGAGACAGGGAGATGATGTATTCAAGAGGCAGAACATGACACGAATTTTTGGACATGACCAATGTGGGAATTTGTTTGGCTTGACTATGCATATTTGTTACAAGGTTTTTTCTTCATTTTCTTTTTTTCATTGTCATGGGGGAGATGGAAGGGAGAGAAAATAAATGCTTATTATTTAAAAAAAAGAAAGGATTGTAAGATAAAATAAAGGAGTTTGCATCAGATGATCTTTAATGTTCTTTCCAGTTCTGGGAATCTAAGAAGGGATTGGGTAAAAGTACAACAGATGTTACCAAGCTTCTTTTTTCTTTTTCTTTTAAAAAATTTTGTCTGAACTTTACAAAAAAAATAATAAAATAGGCACTTCTATATAAATAGCAGAGCAGAAAAAAGAGGACTATACATGAAACTATAGGTCCATATTTATATGTAATTTGCTTTTCTCTTACAATATACAATAAATTTAATCTGTAGGGTTTTTTTTTTAAGTTAAAAAGCGAAAAGGAACAGTTCCTGCTCCCAAAAGGAGCTAACACTCTAAGTAGGAGAAAATAACTCATAAAAGGAAGTTCAACCATAGGGTCAATAGAAAGGCCTGAAAGTTCCAAGAATCCAACCAGTGGGCAGTGACTGAACAGATGACTAGGCTAGGGAGTTCTTAGCTTGTAAAAGTTGTTCAATGCTGGGATCTGGAGGGCAGAGAGGCAGCGCATATAGTAAGTCCTAGATGACTCTGGAATTCAATGGCAGGAAAGATGAGGATTGGTGGTCTTCCATCTCACCAGAAGCAACACAGTTGGTGACTCCCATCTCATACAAATGGTATGAGTGGTCAATTAGCCTGGATAGATTCTAAAGGGGCTAAGGTTCATGGGAAGAAGAAAAAGGAAGGCAAGGTGGGAAGAAAACCCCCATTGGTGGCAGAAGGAAAGGAAGAAGGAAATGAAAGCTTTTCAACATATATGAAGAAAATAGACATGAAAATGCCCAGAGAAGAAGAAATAATAGCAATATAATACTATGTTGATATGAAAATAACAACACAATCTAATAAATACACAGATGAAAAAGAGATAGGAAGAAACCATAGAAACAATTATTATATTAGTCATTAAAATATTATAAATATATTATTTTCCTTTTGGATTATTATGTTATTTGATTATTTTTATTAACAGTTATCAAGCTTAAATAATTTCTTTTTTAAAGAAATCTAAGTATTTCTTGGTGAATTTATTTTATTCTCATGCCAATCACTTCCTAGCCTGTCCAAACCACTTCTGCTATAATCTAAAATCACATGTGGAGTATCCTGGGTAATATTCCCAAATATCACCCCCAAATCTACCCTTTCTTCTTATTACCCAAATCCCATCCAGAGTTGTAAACTTCAACTATGGACATCTAAATCTAAACTTTAGGAAGGGCAAAGTAAATAGAGGAATGCAGATGTCTCCATCAATGAAATCCCCTGTGATGAAAGGGCTGCTTGGGCAGCATGTCCAGATGTGAATCTAAACTTAAATGTCTAAGTCAAATCTGAAGATGCCAATGTGTATAACAGAATTTCACAGTCTCTTTTTTAAATCTCTTGTTTTAGTCTATAGTAGCCTACTGCCTTTTATGGATGAGCTATTTTTCTTCTATAATCTGGTTAGGCAGCCATGGATGTGTTGCTATCTGTTTTTTGGGGAAGATACATCTAAATCAGTATCTTTCACACAACTGAGTATTTGAGACCTGGTCAGAAGATAGGATAGACATCTTAAATAATGTTGTTTTTATCTTCCTGATCACAAGAAAATGAGTTGGTAGCTATATGAGCCTTAGCTACTATCACCCACAGGCAGTACAGAGAATTAAAGGTATTTTAAACTGTGCTAAGTGGTGCAGTGGAGCACTGGTCTTGGAACCAGAAAGACTCACCTTCATAAGTTCAAATCTGGCCCTAGATTATTTACTAGCTGTGAGACCCTGGGCAAGCCACTTAACCTTGTTTGCCTCTGTTTCTCATCTATAAAATGGGCTGGAGAAAGAAATGACAAACCACTGCAGTATCTTTGCCAAGAAAACCCCGAATGGGTCATGGAGAATTGGACATGACTGAAAAATGACTTTAACAACAAAAAACAAGAACTACTAAGCCACTTCTGTACAAGTCCATTAAAAATCATAAGAATGGAGCAGGATGGTTGTAAAAGCTACTGGCAACCCATCAATACCATTGAGCCCGAGTATGAGAGGCTAACTCATAAGACATCACAGAGGAAAAGTTAGACACATGAGAGGTGCTTAGCAGGTCTTAACTATACCTTGAGTTCTGTGGTAAGGTTTCTTTGCTTTAGCTTCACGGCTTTCTCACGAGTGATGGTGAAGTCCCAGGAAAAGACAAGTTTAGCAGTCCCTCTGGAGTAGACGTGAGGATTAATGAAGTTATTCCGGAAAGAACAGGCCATACTATAAGAGGCAAAAACAACAATACACTCAGCTCCACCAAAATGCTGGAGCTTAGTGTAGTAGGAGGAATAGGAAACCCAGATAAAAAAAAAATTATATGTATATGTATATATATATATGTATATATGTGTATATATGTGTGTGTGTATGTATGTGTGTGTATACATACATACATACATATATATACACACATATACATACATATATATATATATATATATATATATAATCAGGTGAAGGTATTATTTCCAAGTCTCTTACCTTGAATAGAATAACAGCATTTCTTTAACGACACTCTCATCTTAGGGTTGACTACTTTTTTTTTCAATTCTAAAAGGTTTTCTGGGAAGCCACATTAGTAGGATCCCCCAGGTTAGTTGTTTTACATATATAAGTAAAGTCACAAAATAGACATGTACATCTATTAGGGGAAAGGAAGTGTACCAACTGCCATTACATTTGGTTCAATCCAATTCAATGTTTATTGAAAAACCTATGTACAAAACACTGGTCTAGAAGCTGAGGCTTTGCAATGATGAATAAATCACAGTCCCTGCCCTCAAGGAGATTATAGTCTAATGAGGGAGATGACAGGCACATGTGCAACTATAATGCAAAGCAGAGGATATCTAAATGCATAAGGGATATAAACAAAATACCAAGAGAACTTAGGGGTACCTTTGGTACTGGATTATCCTAAAAATTTTGTCATAAAGTTTACTTTGCAAGATAATACCATGGTATATGTGGGAGAAGAGGACAAAATTACTCTCCCCAGATGAACCCCAAGGACTGACTTCAGCAAGTTTCCTGAGGTTGGTAGCTTCCAGAGAGCCTCCTCATCTCCCCTACCTTATTATTTCTTACCAAACCCCCTGGTATTGCACCATGAACTTCCATAGCATGTTTGTGTAACACATAAATCCCTCCCTCCTTAGAAAGGGCCCTCCTCCAAGGCATGTTGACTCCATCTTGTTCTATATCAGTCATCTTGCTGTAAATGACGCCAATGTCCTTTAGTGTTTCCTTTTTACCTCTTATCAGTACAAAAAAAGACTTACTTGCTGAAGGTGGAGGATGCCAGAGTCCTGGGAAAGCTCTCCTCCCTGTCTGGCCCAAGGGGCAGACTTCTTTGATTTAGTGAGATGAGATATGAGATCACTGGAGATATACTCCAATGATAACTTCTTCATCTATTGCCTGTAGCTAAGAATATACATTTTTCTCCAACACGCATACTATTCTTTTTGCATAATCACCTGATATTTCTGAATAGTTACCTTTCTTAACTATTGTTTCATACAATGTTACTTTGTTTCATACAATGTTACTTTGAATAATCTTCAACTTATGAATACTGCCCTAAAAATTCAGAAACTCATGTCAGGCTCAAGGTAGATGCTATCCATCTTGCTATTTACCCCAACCAGCCAGAATAAATAGCTAATTGCTTCACTTTTAAGTGACACCTTACTGCTATTATCTGACCTTGACTTAAAGAACTTCAATTGAAAAGTAACCACCCTCTTGAGTACCCCCAAAATTCTACTATATGTGCATCCCCAAAATAGCCTTCAGTAGAGCTCCAGTTGCAATGTATTGGAAAGAAAAGAACATTGCTTGGTTTGGGTTTGAGTCTTGATTCTCTTATTTAATAGTTATGGAACACTGGGTATGTCACAACTTCTCTGAGCTTTTATTTCCTCATGTGTAAAATAAAGATAATTATGCTTGTACTACCTACCTCATAGTGCCAACATGGTTTAGTAGATATAGCACTGAGTTTGGAGTTAGGTGGAAGAGTTTAAATCCCAATTTAGACACTAGATATATGACCCTGGGCAAGTCACTTAGCCTCTGCATGCCTCAAGAATTTCTCTAGGATTGACTCAGTAAGTCATGGACACGTTAAGATTTATTTTAATGGACACGACTCCCATACCAGGAACTCACCACACTGATGAAATCATAGTACACCTTGGGATAACTACTTTCTAGGATATCAAGTTGGTAGGGACATCAGAAATCATCTAGTCCAACCTCCTCATTACGCAAATGAGAAAACTGACAAAAGAGGTCAAAATAACTGCCCAAGGTCACACAAACGTTTGCAAACCTTTTTTAAAAAAAGGTTCAAATGCTTAAGCTAATCTCACAAAATATACCTCTTTCTAGTATATCCCCACTCTCCTGCCCTAAAGCAAATAAAATGGTGAAACAAGTGGTGAAACTTTACCCCAGAGAGATAAAAGAAAAAGAAAAAGCACCTACGTGGGCAAACATATTTATAGCAACAATTTTTCTAGTGGCAAAGAACTGAGGGAATGCTCGTCAATTGGGGAAGGGCTAAACAAGTTGTGGTATACAATTGTGATGGAATACTGTAAGAAATGAAGGGGATGGTTTCAGAAAAACCTAGGAAGATTTATGTGAACTGATGTAAAGTGAAGTGAGCAGAAACAGGAGAACAATTTACACAGTACCAGCAATATTGTAATGATAATCAAAGACTTAGCTGCTCTGATTGATACAATGATCCACAACAATTTCAAAGGACTCATGATGAAAAATGCTATCTAACTCCAGACAGAGAACTGTTAGACTTTAAGTGCAGATGGGAGCATATTTTCTTTCATTTTATTTATTTTTCAGGCTTTTTTTGGCAACATGCCTAATGTGGAAATATGTGTTGCATGACTTCATATGTAAAATGGGTATTGCACTTCTTGCCATCTTAATGGGTAGGGGAAGGGCTGAAGGGAGGGAAAGAATTTGGAACTGAAAATAAAAAGAAAACCGTTAAAAAGAAAAAACAACTGGTGAAATTTGATAGACAAATATGCAAAATAAGAAACACTTTGGAAGTGACCAACAATAAGGACTTATTTTGCTTGACTGAGCTTATGTGATACATGGGTTCCATATTTCTTTCTTTTTACCTTTTTTCTTTTCCTGTGGATAATGGGAAGTGGGATTAAAAAAAATCAATGCTTGATATCTGTTGGTTAGTTTTGCCATACTGCTTTTTTTTAAAAAAAATATTTGTATTAATATTTTAAAGCAGGAAAAGAGGTGGGAGGAATATACTAAAAATGAATAAAATATTTAAAAAACCCCAAAGGGTATTAAAGTAAAAACAAGATGTGAAAAAAACCTTTTATGTCTTTACTCTGAACTTGCATTTTAAGTTCTAGGCTATTGAGAGTGGTTCATAGCATACATTTTAGACATCCTAGTTAATGATGAGCTGTTGAATTTTGTCCAAGTGTGAGAGAAAGCTTTGAACATAAAGATGCAGAACTCCATACCTATAGAGTAAGGAAAAGAAGCAGATGACCAAGTATAATCCGATCGTGAAAATATATGCCAACTGCATGTTGTAAGAGGTGTTGCTTCCTTTGTGCTTGATAGTTGAATTGGTATAAAAGCCATAATACAACACTGTTTGTTGAAAAGAACCCTGAAATGAAAGAAAAGAACTCTGAAATGATACAGTGAATTCTGAGTCAAACCACTTTTCTGGAGAATAAACAAATGAACTGAGTAGTTTGGATTGGTTACTTTTCAGTTTGGTAGGAAACTGGGCAACTGAGTTTTTTAAAAGTCCATCCTCTCCCACCCTCCATTGCTCCCAAATCTAGAGAAACCTTTGTCACTATGAAACATTGGTTAGAAAGGAATCCAGTCATCTCTGAAGATATAAACAGTTAGGTGCTATGGTGAACAAACTTTAGGAACTTGTTCTTCCCCTGATTACATCCCACATGAAAATTACTTAATAGTCAAGCCAAGTCCCCATTAGACTGTGACCCCCTTGAGACTAGGAACTGTTTCCTGCCTTCCTTTTTCTCCCCAACACTTAGCACAGTGCCTGGCACATAGTAGGCACTTAATGAATGCTTGTTTACTTGATTTGACTAAGTTAGAGAATAGGCTAAGAAATTTTCCCCAATAGATGTTGAGTGCATTGGACTATCATTTGGTTCTTGTTGGTTACAAAGCTCCTATTCCATGCCAGTGACATAGCAGAAGCTTCTGTACTGGAGTAGGAAAAATAATAAGCTCAAAGCTCACCTCCTCTAAGAAGTCCTTCCTGATTACTTCTTTATTGTTTTATTCTTTATTATCCCAGCACTTCTATATTAAGCCTGTGTCCTATGATTACATTTTTTCTATTTCATTGTAATTATCTTTAAATTGCTTCAGATGTGTATCTTACGGCTCTAAAGACTAAAGACAAAGACTGCATCTTTTATTTTTCTTATATTTCCCTACCCATCCACTCCCACAGCACTTAATATAGGACTAGACACTTAGTAAGGGCTCAAAATGTAGACCTTTGTCAAAAACAAGTGGGGTACTTGGAACTATGCCTTAGAAGTCATTAAATTGTGAATGTTCTTTGACCCAACTATACCCCAAAGAGATCAAAGGAGAAAAGGAACTTAGATAGGTATATATAGATATATACATATATCTATATATGAAAATATTTGTAGCAACTGAAAGGTGGAAACCCAGAGAGTGTGTCCCTTTGGGGAATGGATAAACAAATAGTGGTATATGAATGTAATAGAATTTTATGTGCCTTAAGAGATGATTAAATGGACAGTTTCAGAAAAAACTGGGGAGATTTCTATGAATTGATTGCAGAGTGAAATGAGCAGAACTAGGAGAAAAAAAATATATACTATAGCAACAACATGATAGAGAAAAACAACTTTGAAAGACTTTAGAACTCTGCTCAATTCAATGAAAAACCACCAGTCCAGAAGCCACAAGATGAAACATGACACTCCTCTTCTGCCAAAGAGGTGATGAACTTAGAAATGAAGAGATTTACATTTTGGAGTATGGCCAATGTGAGAGTTTGTTCCGCTGGACAATGAATGTTTATGGGGGGAGGCATTTTTCTTTTTCTTTTCTTTTTTGGTTGTTCAATTGGGGAGAGGCAGTGGGAGGAATAGATTATAAATGCATGAAGAATAAATAAATACATTTATTTGACAAAAAGTTTAAAAAAAACACATGTGAAGGATCTAACACATCTTAAGGAATCAAAGTTATATTACCAAAAGTTTATGATCTTGTTTTATGATAAGAAGTTGCAATGAGAAATATGTCTTCAAATAATATATCTAAGTCTCTTTTGGGGAATATTAGTGAGGGAAGTCACTGTCTCTTTCTTTGGTAGCTCCTTCTACTGTTAAACATTGGTAGAGCCTTAGACACTCAGTTGTGTCATCCTGAGCAAATCAGTTAACACTCTTTGCCTCAGTTTCCTCATTTGTAAAATAAACTGGAGAAGGAAATGGCAAGCCACTCCAGTATCTTTGCCAAGAAAATCCTAAATGGGGTCACAAAGAGTGAGACACAACTGAACAATAGCAAAAACAGCCTCAGAATTATACTTAAGAATTTAAATGCCTACTGTACATCCAAGCACTATGCTAAGCATTTTACAAATATTATTTCATTTGATCCTCACAAAAACTCTGGAAGGTAGGTGCTATTATGATTCCCCAATTTATAGTTTAGGAAACTAAATTTCAGAGAGACTAAGAGATTGCTCAGAATCACAGAGCTGGGGGGATGTAAACTCAGGACTCCCCAGCACTCAGTCCACTGTACCACAAAACTGAGGCTAATTCTTATCAGTGGTCACCATCCCCAGATAACTCAATGAACTCTTTACTCATGTCCAAATAGTTCTTGTCCTCTCACACACACATACAAGTCAGTGGGTATCCACATACACCCAGCCACACAAAGTATGAAGCATACCTCCTCTGGACCCACTGGCAAATAAGCAAACATGGACATTCACAACAAAGGAGAAAAGAGGGTGAGGGACCGGATGTTAATATGGAATACATCAGGCAGAATGCATCCTAACATGTGTCTTTAATAGCTTCCTTGGAAAAATGAGAAGATGCCAAGACATGAATAACTAACAAAGAAAGGACTTCCATGTGAAGTTTTTAATCTCTAAGCACATGATTTTCTCTGGTTTAGTTGGTTCAATTCTAACATTACTTTTATTTATTCATTTATTTACCTGGCTGATAATTGAATTTTATTTTGCTTAATTTGTGTTTTTATTTATTTGTCATCAATTTATTTTCAGCTTTTAAAAGTAATTATCAGGGGAAGCTAGGTGGCACAGTGAATAGAGCACCGGCCCTGAAGTCAGGAGGACCTGAGTTCAAATCTGGACTCAGACCAAAAACTTAACCCTTACTAGCTGTGTGACCCTGGGCAAGTCACTTAACCCCAATTGCCTAAAAATAAAAAAAATTTAAAAAATAAAAGTAATTACCAAAAAAATGTGTTGAAATATCAGGAGACATGTTATTGGCATTTTCTCATATTCCTGAGATCTATATATTTCAACATCTATTTATTGAACTTCTATTCTATCCTAGGTCAGTGAGAAATACAAAGGAATATAATAAGTAGTCTCTGGTCCCAAGGCATTTATAATCTAGTGGAAGAAACAATACATACATATGTAAAAAGTTAAAAAAAATTTAACTCCAAAAAAGTAGTGCAGACAAAACATGTTAAAGAAGGAAAAGATTGATTGCTATAAACTGGAGGGATTAAGAACAGTTTCATGGTGGGGGTGGAGCTTCAGCTAAGCCTTGATAAAATATCAATTTAAAAAAAGGAGAAAAGAAGATATTCTATGGGAGAACAAAGGTACTACCCCAAAATAGAATGCAAATAAATGCACACAATAATACATGCACGTACATGTATGAGTATATAGGTATATATCTATATGTCTATCTATCTATCTCTGCGTTTGATTCCCCTCCCACTCTGCATGATAGTCTAACATTGCTTTTAGAAGAAAAGCAGAAAGGAGAGCGTAAGAAGAGAGACTACCCCTAATTCATCCAATAACTCAAACTGAGAGAAAGGACTTCATGTAGTAGGACTGGTGACAAAGTTACTATTTCTCAATAATTGCTATGAAAAAAAAACAGGACTGCTTATGGAAGCAGACACTATGACTTCCATATTTTAATCTAACTTTAGATTAGGTGAAACTCAATTTGAATGCTCATTCTACTCCCTGCCTCATACCCTTCCATGTGCATTTCTTTAGGGAGTTATCCAGTTGTCACATTTGGAATCACAAAAATCTGTCACATTTGTTTGGATTTAGGCTCGTGGTATAAAAATGTATGATGTCTAGGTTTGGCCATACCACCAAACACACAGCTTAGAAATCAGAATACTATCAAATACATACTGCTCCAGTGAGAAGCTCCAGACCAGTGAAGGAAAGATTGTTTGGCTTCGGATCTGTAAGCTGAGGGATGATGATGAAACTAAAGTTCACAATAAATGAAAAAATGTTAAACTTGAGGAGCCATGTCAGGAAACTGAAGTAAGAAAGTACGCTTGTTCCAAATTTGCTGCCAATGATCTTGAGGGTCCTCTGCCACACATCCAGCGACTGGAAAAATTCTGACGTCACGCTTTTAAAATGCCTATAATGCTAGAATTACAAAAAGAAAAGAAAAACAAGTGACAAGACAGCTAGATGGTTGTTTGTCTAGAAAAGAGTTGAGGGTTTTGGGGGACTACAAGCTCAACGTGGGTCAACACTGTGACATGATGGTCAGAAAAGTGAATTTGATCCTGGGTTTCACTAAAAGAGAGACACAGTAACTATGCTTGGCAGGGGAAAATCTCAAGGTCTTCTGCCCCAAGAAGACCAGAATCCTGATGCTGCCACTTGCTACCTATTTGACTTTGGTCAAATTTCTTTCCTTCCTTAGTTTCTTCATCTACAGAAAGAGATTTAGACTCGATGATTTCTAAGATCCCTTCTAAATTCAAATCATATCATCCCCAAAGTCTTTTCAAGTTCTATGATTTTAGGTGGATCAAGTTACATACCAGAAGTTATGCTCAAATCCCTCAAATTCCAAAGTTACTTGCCATTTTTATGTGACTTCAGGCAAGTTGTAACTTATCTGGACCTCAGCTTTCTGATCTGTCAAATTGGCAATAATAATACCCTTTGGAACCCTCTCTCATAGGGATAGTTTGGGGGAACAAATGAGATATCATATATGAAAGTACTTTGTAAAACTATAAGCACTAGACTAATGTTAGCTATGTACAATAAAAGTCTACTGAATAGCCTGCAGCACTCTACACCAACACCAGTGTTATAAATACACTGGAAATCATAGCAAAATAACGTCTGCTTTTTTTTTTTTCAATTCCATCACTCAAAGCCCAACTTTTGGACTAGAAGATATGGAGCTATGGAGAGGGAGTAAATTTTTAATAATGATAATAATAATAATAATAATAGTAATAATAACTAATATTTATGCAGTACTTGAGGGGGTAGATTCTTAATAATAAAATAAATAAAATAATAAAAGCTAACATTTATATAGTGCCAAGTACTCTGCTAAGTGCTTTACAATTATTATATCATTTGATCCTCACAAATGGAGGTTGGTGCTAATATTATCCCCATTTTACAGATGAAGAAACTGAGGCAAGCAGCAGTAAGTGACTTGCCCAAGGTCATACAGTTATTAAGTGTCTGAGGCTGGATTTGAACTCAGGTCTTTCTGACTCCAGGCTCAGCACTCTATTCACTGTGCCACTTAGTTGCCTCATTAAATTCTTAATTAGTCATAAATTAGAGGAAATGATGAAAATCAAAACACAAAAATTAAATCTCATAATTTAAAAAAATTTTTTAGTTGAAATAAATAAATTCAACTTTGAGGGGTAGGGTATTGATGTTTTGAACCAATCCTATCTTCCTATTCGGTACATCCAATTTCTGGGTTCCTAAATTGGGAAATAATGGATTGCTTCCAGACAACATTTATATAATGCATTGAGATTTACAGAGTATTTCATGTACACTATCTCATTTGATCTTCTCCAATAAATCTGAGCTAAGTAATATGGTCAGTGGACACTAATATTTCAGGTATTATGCCTCCATTTTATAGATTATGAAACTGAGCCTCAGAAACATTAAGTGGCTTGCCCAGAGTCACTCAGCTAGTAAAAGTTAAAGGCAAAATTTGAACTCATGTCTCACCTGACTCTTAAGTGACTGATCTTTCTGCTATAGCACACGGACTTTCAAAGGTAAATCAGGATGGTTTTTCTTTGGTACCTCCCTGATTCTTACTTGGCATCTCCACCCACTTGTCCCTTTTATTCATCAGCCTCTTCCCCTCCTCCTCCTAAACTCTCCCTTCCCCAAGGCAAAAGCTGGCTTACCAGTGCTGTTGCAGTCAGGCACTGGGTACAATAATTTAACTGAATTGATTGGTTGGCAGATTTCTGCTTCTCCATATTAACTTTTTTCCTGTGTGGAATGGAAGAAGAGAGTGACAAACACAAGTACTATTCAAGTCTCCCTTTTCTCCTAGTACTATGAGACACATTTCAAATATTTCAATGCTTTGATAAACATTCCTTTGAGGAAGAAAATCTTGTCATTTGCCTGTGTACTAGAACAGATCTAAATTGTGGTATTGCCAAAAATCATTTACAGATGATTAAATTAATTAAATTAAATGATTAATTAATTAAATAAATGATTAATTAAATAAATAAATTTAATAAATGATTAAATTAAATTAAATCAAGACCAAGAGAAATGAAGTGATTTGCCCAATATCATACAACTAATTAGTTGGTAGAACTGAAAACAGAACCCACTTTTCCTGAATCCAAGTCTAGTGATCTTTCTACTACCCAGTGATGCCTCTCTGTTCTTATTTCTTTATTTTTCTTTCTCTAGGCCAGGGGTGAGGAACCTGTGGCCTTGAGGCCACATGTGGCCCTCTAGGTCCTCAAATGTGGACTTTCAGGCCTTTCAGGCCCTGAATTTGTTCGGTGAAGTTTGGATTCAGTCAAAGGATGGAACTTCAGGACCTAGAGGGCCACATGTGGGTTTGTTCTGTGAAGTCTGGATTTGGTCAAAGGGCTACTCCTGAGGACTTAGAGGGCCACATGTGGCCTTGAGGTCGAAAGTTCCCCACCCTGCCTAGGCCATGAATATCACACCAACAACAACCCATTAACTTTCTTCTTCTAACAACTTGTTCCTAATTAGTTAATCTCTGCAAAACCTCTGTCTCTGGCCAAGTCATTCAAGCTCCACAATTTTGGGTTGCCTCATCTACATAATGGGGCTGCATTTATGCCCTTCTTTGTATCCACAGTGCTTAACCCAGGGCCTGGCACATAGTAGGTACTTAAGAAATTCCTTTTGCTTGCTTGTTAATAATACGTTAACTGCTTGAAGCATGGGACAAAACTAGATGAGCTAAAGAGATCCATGTCATCTCTAAGATCTATGATTCTAGTAAGTTGTTTCCAAGCTTTAGATGAAGTGATTGCTTTTTATAGGAGTGTTTATTCTCCAGTCCTTTACTAATTCCTTCATCTCATTGCTCTGGATAAACCAATCATAGAGGCAGACCACAAACCCATTCTTTTTTGTCATCTTGTTATTTTTTCCTATGTCCTTCTAGAAATCCCCTATAAATGAGCTATGCAGCATGCTGAGGGCTTACCTCTTTCTGTAGGTACCTTGGCATCACTCAGCCTGTCCATATGTTACCTCTAGCTCTCACTACCTGATCACTCCCTTCCTTTTTGATTATACATATCTTGGATATCTTTCTATGCCACTTTTTGCAAGTAGGTCATCTTTGGTAACATGTTGTAGCCAAATGAAATTCATCATGCATAGCTCCACAGGATTCTACAGAAATGCTGGCAGTTCTATTATTTGCCTCATCGTTATACTTCTCCCACTAGCCCACTATAGATGTTCTTGAAGAAATCTAGCTTAGTTGAGTGTCACACCAAGTTTTTCAAAGATATTGTTTTTCCCTCCAAAGCTCTTCTTCATGTTTTGGTGAAGTAATGTTGATGGTTATCTCCAACTGTCTTTTTCTGTAACATTTTTATTATGAATTTAAACATTTGACAATTAAGTTTATGTTATAAAGTGATATTACCCTTGGCTGTCATGTCTTTCCACTTTGCAAAGAAGTCAAGTATTTTATGGCTGAGATAATTTTTGCAAAATTTGTCTCTTTACTGTAGAAAATGTCTTACATCTTAAACTTCTATAAAAAACTGTAATAATCAGAGTCGATGTTTTTTCTTTGTCCGTTTTCCATCTGGGAGTATCAATCACTTATTTGAGTAAGTAGTGTTGGAGCTGGTATATCTTCTTATCTTTACTCTGTCTTCTAGGTTTGGTGTTGATTTTGACTTTTGCTGTAACTAGCTCTTAGTCAGACTGTAAGCCAGCAGCTAATTATCACACTGACTATCGATCATTTCCTGTCTGTTAATACATGCTTTTATTTTTTGTTATGTTGGGTGCTTACCATGTGGAATGCCTTCTAACTCTCTTTTTAAAATAAAGTATTCATAATATAGAGGCATGGAACTTTATTATAGTCTACCAGCCTTTGACTGCTTTCATTTTCCTAATCCCACAATTTACTTTTCAACATACTTTTCACTCTTTTCTTCTGTATTTATTATCACGTTAAAGTTGATGACAAAGCATCTGTTGAATAGACTAGAGGATCTTGCTTAGTTTTCCATAAAATGTCTCTGCTTCTTCATCCATTTCACTAACCATTTCTTTTTGTTTATACTATTCACAAGAACTTCAAGGGGAGACAGTCAAGTGTCTTATGAAATATTGTTTCTTTTCTTTCCTTTTTTGCTTTCTTTGGTGAGGCAATCAGGATTAAGTAACTTACCCAGGGTCACACAGCTAGTAAGTGCTAAAAGTGTCTGAGGCTGGATTTGAACTCAGGTCCTCTTGATTCCAAGGCCAGAGCTCTATTCACTGAGCCACCTAGCTGCTCCGAAATGGTGTTTCTTGTTACATGTGTGTACACAATGAAACCTTTATTTGTTCTTTCAAGGAACCATTTTTTTTAAAAATTTAGTTGCAACATCCTTGTGTATTTTGGTTTCACTTATAGCAAGAATGCAAATATTGACAAGGTTCAGTTCCCCCAGTAGTCCCATCAGTTCTCTGATGAGTGAACTTAGGACACCGATAATTAGATTAATATTGCTAGTCTAAAAACTATGTGAGTGTCTGCCCTTTCTGCTCTCCTCTGTATTGCTCTGCCTCAGTTATTGCAGGAGCAAAAGAGACCACACAGGACTAAGAGCCATTTTGTATTTTTCTCTGTTTCAAAGGTCAGACTGGTCATCTCATCAGCCTCTTGGTACCTGCAGGAAAACCATGTGCTAACTATCAGGCCATGTCAGCTGAACTTGGATTAAATGCAATGCTAAATATTGCTTCTAAAAGATAATTGAAGAAACATATGATCCCTCTTGGTAAAGAATTTTGCATACACTAACAGATCCCTTCAGGAAGCTGACTGATTTGCATATACTAAAGATGCTTTCATTGTGCTGGTTGGATTGACTTAACTGTTTTCCTTTGTTACAAGGGAAGGTTCTACTTTGGGGGCAAGAAGGTTGCAGTATATCAGGTAAGAACTGTAATTGAAAAAAGCAAAAATCATCTGAAATGACTGAATTAAGGAAAAAAATCAGGTTATAAAAAGTTGCTACTTAGTTGTTTATTAATGCCTCAACATCGGACAATTCAGGGTATGATACAGTACAATTTCTGGCACAAACAGATGAGAACTTCACCTTATCCCTGTCCCACATTATATACCATTACATATTCTAAGGATGGAGAATCCTGCAGCTAGACTGTGTCTTCACCAAAAAACAAAACAAAAAATACTCCAAGTCATTCTCTTTGAATTGTTACCAGTCTTAGTATTAAGTTCAGAAAGGAACTTGTGCTAAGTGGGGTTTGTAAAAAAAAAACCAAAAAAAAAACCCAACCAAAACAGTTTGTATCAGTTGGTACAAAAATTAAAAATTAAATCAAAAATAGAAAAATTCTATGATCTATTTTTTTTTAACCTACAAAAACACTGCAGAAAGAGTTCGTGCTAACAATGTTTTAAATATTTCTGCCAGGCAATGGGGTAAAGTGACTCTCCTAGGGTCACACAGCTAGTAAGTGTCAAGTGTCTGAGGCCAGATTTGAATTCAGGTCTTCCTGAATCCAGGGCTGGTGCTCTATCCACTGTGCCATCTGGCTGCTCCCTCAGTGAGGTTATCGTGTTGCACGAATGGAATGTTAGACTTGAAAAGAACTTGAGATATCCTATAAATAAAATCCTATACATGCTTGCTTTATTTAAGTTCAGAATAAAAAAAAATTCTATAGTTCATCCTTATTATTTTGAGGCAATGAAGGCCATGAAAAGTGAAACAATTTATTCTAGGCCACATAGTAACAGAGACTGGAGTATGAAGTTATAATTCTCTTGAATTCTAAAATGGACACCAAACATATGAGAAAACTATGACACCAAACGTGAGAATTTCATTGTAAAATATTCATATCTTTTCTCTCTGTTTCTTATGCAATTTCTGGACTAGGAGTTTTTCTAACCCTCTCAAAATGCATCTGAAGTAGATCATGGACATTCATATTCAACTCAGGAAAGAAGAAAAAGCTTCAACACTTACTTAATTTTCCTCTTTTCCTGCATGGTCAATGGCTGATTCCGGATGATTTTGTTTCTGTCTCTAGTTGGTAAGTTTATAAGAGATGCAATCAACTTTTCCTCTGTATAAGGGTCATAAAAAAAAAGTGACACAGTTTACAAAAGCAAGCAATCTCCTATAAAACAACTACAAGAACCACATTATGGGAGAGTTATAAGAATTAAAATGGCTCCAAATAAATTAGAGCCAAGTACTCAAACAGAGCTCAGAACCATGCAACAAAATAAATCATACTCAATTATTGAACCCAGAAATTGAACTTAATACTAACTCTGTACTCAGAGCATTGTATTCATACTCTTCTCAGGTAGTTAGCACATTTAATTTATATTAAATTATTTGCATACATCTCATTCCTCTATTAGACTGTAAACTTTATGATGGTAGTCATTGAGTTTTATTCCTCTCTGTTTCCCTTCTAGCCCCTAACACAAGGTGTAAAATAGGTACTTAAAATGTGTTTTATAATTAATGTATTAATTTTTCTTTACCAATTTACAAAAAAAATTATGCAATTAATCTGAACTGAAATTCAGTTTATATATTTTCTGAAATTATTGAATTAAAACATCAATAAATTTCTCCAAACTTTACCTAAGATGATTTTACCTTTTGTTCAGTTGGAATCTCCAAGTAGAACAAAATAGACAACTTTTTTGGTTAAATTTCTCATCTCTGTAATTTTAGTCTTTGTCTTCTGCTGAATTACATTCTCTTAGGACAAGTCACATGCCACAAGACTTAGAGAAGTTATCTATTTTAACCAACAGAACCATAACTAGGGATTTGCACCAGGAAAAATGTATAGGACAACACTGAAGATGATAATTTTAAAGAACCATGCAAACTTTGTTACATTTATATTTTGACTGCAGTTTTACTCTTTCAGCAGCTAGAAACAACTGAGCTTAGCATCTAGTAGGCAAGAATAATGAATAAAACTAACAAGCAACCAGATATCCTTGTCTACTTCCTCCCCAGAGGGGCTACATAGTAGGTGAGCTTCTTTCCAGCCTGGCTCTGCTCCCTCTGGGTGGCAAAATTCTTAGCAGTGACTTCAAAGTGTACTCAGAACTCTTATCTCTTATTAGATAAAGCCCTACAATTGGTATCTGCCCTCCAGATTGAGGGTTGGTTGTCCCCCGGTTTCCCTACCTGATCAATTGAATTGGTCTTGATTATTCTTATATTATTTTCAAATTATTAATTAGAAAGTTGATTTTGAGGTACTCAGTGTTGCTTGCCTTGGACTTGTTTCATGCCGTTTGCTGGAGTCACCAAAATTGCTAGTTATGGGTCTGCTAGGCAACCCTTTAAGTCACGATGACTCAATCAATCAACTAGCATTTATAAAGCTACCATATACCAGGTGCTGCATCATAATAAAACCTTTCCAAATAGATTATGTTTTTCATATCATCCAATCCATAAATTCTAGGCAAAAGCTGAACTTCTAGACCAATGGACTGGCCTCTAAAGCTATTAACAAGATAGCACCCAGAGCAATATGAATCCCAAAATGCCTTCCTCCAGTGTCTAACTGGGGCCTAGTGCATAATTACCTCAGAAAGACAAGTCATGGCAATAAACTTAAGTAATCCAGACATTTAGATTTTAGTGGTAAGTCCTTTGCCTTGGAAAAAGATAACTATAAAGGCATTCTAGGAGAAAGTACTCTTCAGAACTTTGATGCATTATTCATGAAATCATTTTCTAAATGCCTCTTCACTGCACCCCCAATGAATCAACTCACAGGAACCTACCATGCTTGGTTTTGTCTGCAATATTCATAAAAGTAGGATCATGGGCCTGCAAGGCATCTTCATGCCAGTTCCTTCTCCATCCAAAAGAATTAACTGTAAAAAAAAGATGTAAATTACTATCCTGCTTATTAACTATAATTAATGAACAGCTTGTTGTCAAGCTTAATGCATTTCAATTTAATATTGTATTATTTTGTATGTATTATTAAATTGTATCATTTTATCAATGGAAAATATAATCCCCAATTTAAAAAATATCTACTATTCTGTTATTTATCAGCATTTTGGAATTGTTAGCCCCCCCAAAAAATTAGTAGTAATATGATGAAAACACTTTTCTCAAAACATATAGGTTTTGTACATATGACTTCTACCAGGGGAGAACTGACTACCAGGATCTGTGCTGGCTTATAGATTTTGAAGAATTGAGAAAGAGGGAGAATCATAGTTATATTTGACCCATCTAGACCTTTTTTTCTTTCCTCAACTAAGTTGACCCTTAAATGCTCTTCCAAATTTAGCTTCTACAATTCCTTCTGCTCATCTTAAACCCTACCCTATCCTATTCTCTTATTGTTGGCTGTGAGCGACTCTCTAAAGGAAACTCAAAACTGTTCCTCAACCAAGGCGGGGAACCTGTGGCCTCAAGGCCACATGTGGTCCTCTAGGTCTTCAACTGTGGCCCTTTGACTGAATCCAGATCTCACAGAACAAATTCCCTTAATAAAAGGATTTGTTCTGTAAAACTTGGACTCAGTCAAAAGGACACACCCAGGGACCTAGAAGGCCACATGTGGCGTTGAGGCTGTAAGTTCCCCACCTTGCCGGACTATCCTGATAAAGCTTTGACTGGCCCCAACACTGCCCTGGATAGAACCCATAACATCTAGGGGAATGTTTCTTAGGAACTGAGGTGGTATGAGTGGGACTGGTCTATCAACGGAGTTCATCCCTCCACAAGCCATCAACTAAACTTTGTTTCATAGCTTATTACTTACATATCTTGGTCATGGTGTCATAGAATGTTAGAGTTAGAGCAAACCTTAGAGATTGTCTCCTCCAATACCCTTTTAACAAAAAAATCAAAGGACCGAAGAGATTAAAGGAATTGCCCCAGAGTATCACAGATAAGGAATGGTAGAGCCCAGAGTAGAACTCAAGGCTTTTTGACTTCTAGGCCAGTGGTTTTCGCCTTTACCACACTGCCTCCGCATTTGCCTAGTTTTCTGAGATTAACGATGGAATCCTATGACAGCAGAGGTTTGAAGTTCAACAACTTTTAGTTCTGGAGTAGAATAAACAAAGCAAAAATATCCAACCCTGAAATAAAGAAAATGTATGTGTGTGTGCACACGTAGGAAGGATTCAATTATAAATTACACCTAAAAACCCCACATAACATATACAGTTTCCTATATAGAGTTCTTATCTAAAAAATCAAGTTCCATTCTGCTAATAATGTTTGAAACTATATGGGATATTGTGCACAACATATGTATGTATGTATATGTATATGTATATGTATATATATATGTGTGTTTCCTCTACTTTTAAAATTGAAGTAAATCTAAATTAATTTTGAAATTAAGAAAAAAAAATCTAATGCCACACCTTGAAGTAAGTCAAAATAGCCCGGAGTGTGTATACACACACACAGAAGTATACACGTAATATGTCTATACACATATATGTGTGCATGTGTGTTTATCTATCCATACACATATATGTGGGTATATCTATCTATAGAGAGACATATAGCTATATCTACAGATATCTGTAGACATAAATATATTTGTTTCTATACATATATAAATAAGGTCTATATATTTGTTTCTTTAGGTATATAGATTCTATGTATAAATATATTTATTTCTTTTTTTAGGTAGATAAATAGACACATATACACATATATGGCCAGGTTGGCAATATGTATACATATAGAGACAGATACAGAGAGAGAGAGAGAGAGAGTGTCAGGTTGGGAATTAAGATCATAGATTTGAAGCAGGAAGGGATTTTGTATGTCACTTAGTTAAATGATATAAATGAGAAAACCGAGGCCTAGAAGGTGAAGTATCAGAATTTGCACTCAAGTCCTCTTACTCTAAATCCAATGATCTTTCTATTGTAGTACAATAGAGAAAATTAATTATTGTACCCAAAGCTATCAAGAACCTTCATCTTTATTCTCTTATTTTGTGTTCCTTGCTTTGAGGCCTCTTACGGAATTTACAACCATATGGTCTCATAAAATTGTATAAACCAAAGGAACTATACCGTTATGGCACAGGCCCCTTAGAAGAAGGGTTTCCCTTCATTCTCAGGCACTCCCTCCAGATCCTCCAGAGTAGCATTACCTAGTGGATTTGTAGAAGAATCATCTGAATGATCACGGATGTGAAAAGCCTGAGAAAAAGATACTGAGATGGAATTTGAAATCCTGCTTAATCGATTCCCCTTTCTGGAGGCTGGAACTTTTGGAGGCACAGCCTCTGTCATTTCAACATCCATATCCTCAAGGTCCATAATTTTTTGCTGCCATTTGTTTTGGGATGAACTAGGCAACAGAGATCTTGACATCCTGGACGTCGGTCTAAGATCTTCAACGTTTAGGAGGACCTCCACCACGTGATCATTATGCTTTTTTTTCTTGGGTCTTTTCTCTACAACCTTCTGATCTTTCCTCTTTCTGAAAAACTCAGAAAACATTTTTTTTTTTTCTGGGCTCTGATCCTCTGCTCTATCAGGGTTAGCACTCATTTCTTATAATTTCACTCTCAGTTAAAGTGTCAAGGAAACTTAAATCATCTCTATTTTCCCAAACACCGAAAAGTAATTTTAAAAACAATTCAGAGAATTAAAATGGCTTCTAAGACCAACATCTATAAGCTGGCCTACTTTCAGGGCTGTCTCATGGTATCTAGGGAAGAAAGCTAAAACAGAATTCTTCATTATAGACTAAAGGATTCTAGAAACAGAAGGCAGTGTTTCTAAACTATACCTAATAGTCAATTTGCATTTATTAAGTGCCTGCTATGTGCCTGGAACTGTGCTAAGAGATGTGAGTACAAAGTAAGGCAAAAATATAGTCTAGGCTCTAAAGGAGCTCATAGTCTAAGGGGAAAGGCAATATGCAAACAGCTATGTACAAATAGGATATGTACAGGGCAAGTTGGAGATAATCACAGAGGGAAGGCTCTAAGATTTAGAAGGACAATGGCTATTGTGGAAATATATTTTACATGACTTCATATGTATAATTGGTATCATATTTCTTGCCTTCTGGATGGGAGGGGAAGGGGGTAGAGGGAGGTAGAGAATTTGGAACTGAAAATAAAAAGTAAATTAAATTTAAAAATACAGAAAGACTAAGAAAGGCTTCTTGTAGAAGGTGAGACTTCAGGTGAGACTTGAAGGATGCCAAGAAAGCTAGGAGAGAAGGTACAAAGGTTATGTTATTTAAAAGATATATTAAAAGTTATAATATCTTCAGTAAGACTTGGAGACACATCTTATATTATAATGATAGTTTTAAAGGGATATATTGATACAATCTGCCCCCTGATCTCTGATATATTGTGTTCTAAAGAATTTGTCAGATAACTTATTTCATGATGATTAACCAATTATAATCTTTTTCAGGTAATTTGATACCTTAACTCAGTTAAAAATCTCTATCCACTCAATATGGTTCTTAAGGAGTAAAGCTAATAATCATTGCTTCAGTTGTAATGGGCAGATGAATGAGACGTTTTTAATCACAGAAAGGTGGGATAGGCCTTTGGGTCACCTCAAGTCGTGCAGCACAGGTTTATGCCATTATGACAAATTTTTATGACTCTATGATCGTAGATTTATGAATTACGACCAATTCATAAGTCAAGCCTTCCTATCAACACAGCCCTTCTGATCATTCTTACGTAGTGCCTGTCTTTGAAGCTCAATATTCTCTAGTCATTGATCCTCTGCCTCCTATGTAAAATATCCCTGAGCTGAACTGAGTATTGCATCAGTGTCCTGCACCTCTCCGGTGGCTTGAAATTGTTATTGTTGTTTGTCCTTCATTCTGAAAGAAGACCAATGACATCATGAGGGTGAGGCAGCGTTGTCGTCAGTCTCACTCTCTCCTCCAGAGTCATCTAAGTTCAGTGGCAAGACAAAAGTCAAGATAACTGGCAATGGCCCGATGAAATTAGTTTAAAATTCAACTCCAGTTTTGAATTGTTTGGTCATTTTCTATTTGAGTCATATTTATATTTCCCACATGCTCACCTTTTCTTCCCAAGTGCTGATTTCCATAGTCTACATCTAGACTGCTTTCATTCTCATAGGCAAGGTTTCCTAATAGTATGGAGAATAAAGAAAAAAAAATTAGGGGAGAAGAAAGGCATTTACTATCAATGAATAATATTTACAAGGAGATTAAGACACTTTTCTAGGCACAATTCTTTTAAATAAGTAATTGATGTCAATGGGTAATGGGACAAAAGCAAAAAACTATTGATGTTAAATATAAAAATATATTAATAATTTTCAAACTCAATGCTAGTCTTTTAGGAGCTGAATTCTCTCTCATATTCTAACAAATGCTATAGCATTTATCCTGATTTCTCTGGACTTCAGTTCTTCCCTTAATAAAATAAAGGAGTTGGACTAGATCTAGTATTCTTTTTTGTATGTCAAGAAACCTTGTAACAACTGGTGAAGCCCTATGGACCCCTTTTCAGAATAATATTTTTAAATGCATAAAATAAAAATCACAGAATTGCAAAGAAAACCAATTATATAGAAATATAGCTAACTAAAAAAATTTTTAATTAATAAGTTTAGAATCTTTAGACCAGATGATCTCTTTCTAGGATCCCTTTCAGTTCTAACATTTTATTTTTTTTCCAGCATTAAAATTGGCAGTATTAAATATACTATGATATTCTGCAATTCCTGGGACAAATATTCTGTTGAATATAATCATTGCAATTCTCCTTGAAAATGTTTTTGACTCTTTTTCAAGGTGTCTCTGTTTCATCTTCCCATCTAGACTGTAATAGCTAGCATTTACATAGTGTTTTTTATCCAATGGTTCTAAATTTTTTTTGTCTCAAGTCCCCTTTACACCCTTAAAATTATTCAGGGCCCCAAACAACTTCTGTTTATGTGGATAATACCTATCAACATTTACTATGTTAAAAATGAAAGCTGATAAGTTTAAAAGCAAATAATAAACCCATTACATGTCAACATAAATGACATTTTAGTAAAAAATAACTATGTTTTCCAAAATAAAAGAAATTTAGCAAGAAGAGTGGTATTATTTTATTTTTATTTTTTGCAAATCTCTAATGTCTGGCTTAACGGAAGACAATTGGGTTCTCATATCTGATTCTGCACTCAATCTGTTGCAATATCTTACAATATGTTGTTTTGGTTAAAGTTTATCAAGAACATCTGGCCGCACATAGGCATGTAGTTGGAAAAGGGACGAGTGTTTTAATAAGCAAATAACATCTTAGTATTATTATAAAAATAATTTTGATCTCATGGACCCCTGGTTGGAACTACAGCTTTAAGGTTTGAATAGCACCTTATAAATATTCTCATTTTATCCTTCAAATAACCCTGGGAGGTAGGTACCATTATTATTCCCATTTTACAGATGAGAAAACTGAGGCAGAACAAATTAATATGACTTTCTCAGGGTCATGCAACTAGTAAGTGTTTAGGGTCACATTTGAATTCAGGTCCCCAAAACCAGTACTCTATCAATTGTACCATATAACTAACTGCCTTTTAAACTCCTAGGGGAGATGAGCTAGATCTTACGTCATTTGTATCCCACTGCAGTGCCTAGTACTGCACTCATCACATAGAAGGTACTCAATAATATATGCTTATTGGTTGACTGAACATCACTAAATTATGTTAAACTAAGATGATGAAAATAATAATGCATTTGTAAGTTAATAGTATTCAACAGTGTATCCTCCCTGAGGACATCGTGTTTAATTTCTTAGCAGGTCACAATCCTACAAATCTGGTCTTGGAAAATACTTACTGTATCCACCACCATCACGATCTGGCACTGGGTGCATGCTGTACAGAGAAGTAGGCTGCCTGGAGGTCATTTGGAAGGATTCTGGGTAATCTCGATTGCCTCTCCCAGGAGAACCCAAGGTCCGATGGAAAAGCCCAGAATGATGACCCTTGTTACCTGCCCTATAGTATGATTTGACAAAATTAATAAAGTTTCAAACATTTAAATAGTGGAATTTACTGAAAAAGGACTTTCTTCAGAAGCACATTTACTTCCCACCCACTACTTAGGGGTGGGGGAAGAGTTCATCTGCCTTCCAGGCAGATTGTACTACATGATTGACAATAAGCTTTAGATGCTTTCTCTGAGGCAAAGGGCCCTGAGCCTATTTAGGTCCATTTTGTGGGGACAAAAGTGATCACAATATATGACCATATGGGTAGGTGTATTTGACCCAAGTCAAATAATTTTATTCATTCTCACAGACTTTATTGTCAGTTTTATTGTCATATAGTTAGAGAACAATAATTGCTCGTAATAATTGCTTTCATTTCTTCTTCATTGGTTGTAGATTAACCTTTTTCATTTTTGATGCTGGTAATTTGTATTTTCTAAATCAAATTAGTCAACAGTTTATTTTGTTGGTTTTTTCCCAATATTGTTAAAAGTTTTAAAACTTTTAATTTTGTTCATCTGTCCTTTGATTTTTAGAATTTCTATTTTTGGTGTTTACTTGGATTTTTTAATTTGTTATTTTTCTAGATTCTTTTTAGATGTACACCCATTTTATTGATCTGCTCTTTCTCTCATTTATTATGTATTTTCCAATGACTTTACAATCTGAGAACTAGTCTCCATCTCTTGGAGGTCAGGCTCTTGACACTTACCCTCTGCCCATTTCTGGATTCTCTGAATAGGAGTAGTCATGATTGTTTTGACTATTTTGTTTATATGCACTTCCCCAATTATCTGGAGTGCCCAGGTTGTCTTCAGCACCTTGATAGTTTGGAATTCCCAGGGAACCAGGATAGTTTTGATTATTTCTGTTCCTGGAGCCTAGATAGTCTTTGGTACCCATATGATCTGGAATTCCCAGGGAACCTGGGTGGTGTGGATAGTTCTTGGAACTTGATCTGTAAGCATTGCTCCCAGAATCTGGATCATCTGGATCCTCTCTAGAGTCCTGATAATCCTTAGCCCCAGGATAGTCTGGAATCATCACAAAGCTGAAGGAGTCCAGGCTGTGCTTGGACCTTGAATGGTGGGAACTGTTCCTAGGGCCTGGGTAGTCAGGAGTCCTCTGGGATCTTGAAAAGGTTGTATTTGTATGGGATCCTGGATACTCCTGATGATTCCTGAAGCCTAGATTGTCTAGGTAGTCCTCAGCTCCAGGATAATCTGGACTGTTCAGTGCATCAGGACAATTGGGATAATTGTGAGTGCTTGAATACTTTGCGTTGTCTTTGAACTTCAGGTTGTTAGAATTATTCCGGGAATATGGATAGTCTGGACTGTTCAGAGAATCCAGATTTACCCTGGAGTTGGTGAAGTCTGGGTAATCAGATTCTTGTTCATATTCTTGGTTCCTATAGAAGGCAGTCATGCTGGAGAAAGATTCTTCACAACGATGTATTCCCTTAACCCAAGATCTTTTCTCAGTCAGCAGTTACTCCATCTTTGCAGAGAGAGAGAGAAAGAGAGAGAGAGACAACCCAGCTTTATTTCCTCTCACTGACAATAGGCTATGTAAGAATCAGACAAACCAAAGCGTTCTCCATAAAATAGGAAATGATTCAACAGAGCCCCATTAGAGGGGTCACTATATCAAAGTACCAGCTAAAAGGACAGCACCTACAGGGAAGAATCAGAAGTTAATGCTGCCTCAAGGACCCAGTAAACAGATTCATTTCGATCCCACAATTGTTCAGTGAGTACTCTGAGTTTTTTCTATGTGCATTTCCCACCTCTGTTCTTTTCAACAATCTGTTCAATCTGCCTAGAATGTTCTCTCTCCTCTCCTCTGTCTCTTAGAATCCTTAGCTTCCCTTCAAGAGCCACCTGAGGCCTTACCTCCTCCACTAAGCCTTTCCTAGAAGTCTCCTACCCTCCCTGCTCCAGTTAGTGCTTTTGCACTCTTCAAATTACCTTGTATTTGTTTGTGGAAGCATTTCTCCACAAAGTCCTACTCTATAGGAACCTATTTCCAAACCTGGCGTTGTGGAGTTTGTGAGGGACTGTCTGATGTTGGCTACTGCCAAGTGCAGATTGTGGCAAGATGGGGTAGGAACAAGATATTAGGAAGTAACCGGAGCTCACGCTCCCGAGGCAGGGGCTGTGCTAGGCGGAGTTGTGGTGAACTGGGATGGGAACTGGATACGGAGAAGTAACCGGAGCTCACGCTCCTGAGGCAGTGGGCAGTGCTATGTGGAGCTGTGATAAGCTGGGGAAGGAACAGAATACAAGGAAGTAGCCGGAGCACGTGCTCCTGAGGCAGGGGGCTGTGCCACATGGGAGTGGGACGGCAGAGAACGAGTTCCTTTGACTAGTCCTCTTCCCTAGGTGCAACGTTAACCCCAGACGTCTCCTTCCTGACTTCCTGGGTCACGTTCTTTCCCTTTGTGTAGCACTGACCCCAGACGCCTCCTCCCGGTATCTGGGCCTGACTTCCTGGGTCATGTACTCTCCCTTTGTCTATGCACTAATCCCAGACGCCTCCTTCCTGTATCTGGTCCTAGCCTCCTGTGTCACTTCCTCTCCCTTGGTGTGCTAAACTCATACATCCCCTTCCGGGTATCTGACCCTACAATCAATGACTAGTAGGCGGGCTGAGGAGGAGGGGCTAAGTAGGTACTTAAGGAACGGTGGTGGTCGGAGCTCGCTCTCTCTTTTGCTCCTGCTCTCTTGCTCTGGCCTTCCTGCTTGGCCTTGCTGTGATGGCCTCTGAATAAAGCTCGAGTGTTGGCACCTCCTGATCGGCTCGTCTCTGTGTGTTTATCCGGGTAGGCTCCGAAGACTGGTAAGTAGTATGACCCTGGCAGCCTGCTCCTTATAGGAGGAGAGTGCATGGCGCAGCCGGCACAGAGTTAATCCTGGATTTTTGAAGGTTATGAAGCACAAGCTCTAGCAGATGCTACCATGCTACAAAAACTTTGAGGAAAGTCCCAGCTATGACTACATCTGCTTTCCAAGGTCCAGTCTACTAAGTATAAAAAGACTCATCATTCCCAGTCTGGCCATTTGTTGATGGACTTTTTGAGCATGGAAATCCCAAGAAAAAAAGAAAAAGACAAAATGAATTTCGTTCATATGTGCCTTCCTTGGACTTCTTCAGTGATGATAGCAGAAAGACGGGTGGGACAAGGGGTATAGGGTGCTAAGAGTCACAGATTTAAGAATAGCTATACACATTAGCATAACTGTTAGTGTTCTACCTGTGAGATACATGGCCAGGTGACATAGTGCTCTAGGAAGTCAATCATACCAGTCTTGACATTCTCACCTCTAAATGAAACTAGAAGACAAAGATGTTTTTATAAATAGAAGAATGATTCATAAGTGCTCACTGAAGAGGCAGATAGAAGGGAGTTTGTAGAATTGGCTTTATCCCAAAGTAACCAAAACATCATTTCAGAAGCAACCAAAAACATTATTTAAAGGGATATGTAATCATCTCATGATGAGTAATTGCAAAAAGACCGTGATAATATAGTAATTGCAGTTTTGGGGCCAATATTTGTTGCAGAGGAAGATTTCTATAAAGAATTCAATGTCAACCTCCAAATTAAATCAACAGATATATAACCTGTGTGACTTCATGCACAGTGAGCATAGAGGAGGATAGTTTAAAAAAAAAAATGTTGCAAAATGTGGTTCACAGGAGAACAATTTATATGATAAAAGCATTGTAAAGACAAACAACTTAAAAAGATTTGAGGACTCTGATCAATGCAATGACCCGCCATGAATCCAGAAGACTGATGATGAAGCATGTGACCCTTCCCTTGACAGAGAAGAGTCAAGATGCAGAATAAGACACAAGAAATTTGTTTTGCTTGACTATGATTATTTGTTAAAAGGATTTTTTTTCTTTTCAATGAAGGGGGTGGAAGAGAGAGAAAATAAATGATTGTTAATGAAAAAAAACCACTGAGAAAAAAGAAAAAGAGCGGCAGCTAGGTGGCGCAGTAGACAGAGTACCAGCCCTGGATTCAGGAGGACCTGAGTTCAAGTCTGGCCTTAGGCACATAACACTTACTAGCTGTGTGACCCTGGGCAAGTCATTTAACCCCATTGCCTAACCAAAAAACAAACAAACAAACAAAAAAACCAAAAAAAAGAAAAAGAAAAAGAAAATGTGTTTCGGTAGTAAAAAAAATGAGAGTGAGAAAAAGCTTGCAGAAACTATAGAGAAGATTCATGGTGGATATCATAAATATGTTCTTCAAGAAGAGAGTCAGGACATTGGCAGCTAGGTTGTACAATGACTAGAGGGACTTGGAGTTAGGGAGTCCTAAGTTCAAGTCCTACCTCAGACTCATTAGCTATGTACCTTTGGACGTCACTTCATGGCGATAATAGGGAGCAGCTAGGTGGCTCGGTGAAAGCACCAGCCCTGAAGTCAGGAGGACCTGAGTACAAATCCGGCCTCTGACCAAACACTTGACACTTACTAGCTGCTTGACCCTGGGCAAGTCATTTAACCCCAATTGCCTAAAAAAAACAATTAGGGATAATAATTGTATCTATCCCCCAGGGTGATTGTGAGAAATGAGATAACATCTGTAATGCATTTTGCAAATTTTAAAGCTGTATATAAATGTTATATTATTACCATGTATTATTTTTGTTGTTATTATTACTGTTACTGTGGTAGCCCAGTTCCGAGAATGATTGTCAGTCTTAACAGGACTCTTGAATAACCTCAAAACCTAGCAGGCTGAAGAAGCATGGGCTCAACAGCATCCCTGAGAGCAAAGATACGAGGCACAGGAGAAAGATTCCCCCCTTCCAACCTCCCCACTCTTGTTTCCAGCAGTAACAAGTCTTGCAGGATTCAAGTACAAAAAGTTCAAGAACTAGGCTGATGGATGCCTTCTTGGGAACACGGAGAAAAATAAATATTTTCTCTGAAAAGGAGAACATTGAAAATCAAGGAAAAAGTGGGGGTACAAATCTTCCAGGCTAGCTATCCTCTCCTAAGAATAAAAGAAATGGTTCAGTGTAACATATCTCTGCACCCAACAATTTCTTATCGAGATGGAGCTGTGGATCAATTGGGGCAGGCAGTGGACAGAATGTCTGTTTAGGAAAGGAAGAAATAATAAACTTTCTCTGCTGTTAAACTTTACTATGTCTATACAAAAAAGAAAAAAATATGTTAATTCAAAGGGGAAAATGACAGAGAAAGAGCCAGGAGGCAATAGATGTGAGCCTGTTCAAATATAACCAGTTTTGCCTACTCAAACTGATGGGATATAGGCCCAAACTGAGACCTTTGCCCCTTGCCCCAAAAAGAATTTGAGTCTACAGGTCCCAGAAAACCCTTAAACTTTCTTTGACCTCACTCTGGTCTCAAATGGTTACCTGAGGCTATACTCCACTCAACTATCTTTCCTTATAGACTCTCCCTATCTCCCTTCGAAAACCTAATGAAGATATTTCCCACCTTTGATCTTATCCAGACCCCATTCAAACCTTTTCCTTCCAGTTCCCTCCATTATCTATTCTCATTGTCCATTCAACCTCCCAGACATTCCCATTGGAATTCTCCCTAAACTCACCCCAGCTTCAGGATCTTTCTCCCAGCCCCTCCTTCGAATACCCAAAATTATTTGGTTTATAAGATCCACCCTGGCCCCCATTTAAACACTGAGATTTCCTCATGCCCACTCATTTTTTACACGTATCACTAATGTTCAGATCCCTTAAGAGTCTGGCCTGTATGGCCCTTCCCTAAAACAACTGTCTCTAGCTGAAAGAAGATTTGGGTCAAATTCTTTTGAGCAGGACCTGCGTGTTGTCCCAGCACCCCTAAACCTCTAGACCTCATCAAAACCTCTGCACAGAGGAAATTAACATCCAGAGAAGTAAAATTATAAGCAACCTGAGGGCTAGGATTGCTTCTTATATAGCTTAATAGTTCCCATTCACTTTGCCTGGTATTAACAGGTATGGGCCCTGAGAATATCCCCCCAAAACAACTTTCCTTGAATTTTCCCACATGGTCAAGTGGCACCATCCCAGTACTCCTCTCAACTGGCCTTTCTTTGTAGCCTACACCCCATCTCCCAGTTCTCTGTTACCTCTAACCTGGCCCAGCTCTTCATTGTCTGTTACCTCCAGATTGCCCTTGATTCCATCTAGATTCCTTCTCTGTTCTCCCCATCTTCTGTATAAAAGATCCATCTTGCTTCCATTAAAGTGCTCAGATTCCTTAAGAGTCCAGCCAATGCTGAGATTCGTTAAGATCTTGCCCACCTCTATTGATGTTCTAATAAACCTTGTCTTTGGCTGAAAGAGAGGCTTGAGTCAAATTCGTTTGAGGCAGGACCTGCATCGCTTGCCCTTGAATTTTGGGGTCCCAGCACTTTTAAACCTCAACAGCACAATGCTCAATACACCCATGGAGATGT